TTTATAACATATCCCATTTTGCTGACCATTACACATATACTGAATGTTTCAATACTCTGTTTATTTTGGCCAGGAAATTAAACATATTTAATGACTTTATAAAAGTTTTGCTTAAGGAGTATTATTGAATGTCAGGTATGGCTGCATTACTTCTTTGGCTCTGTCTTGTTTTATCTCAGGCTGTAGATGTTAAAACCTAAACTCCTTCTTCTCTCTGTCCTGGTTTCTAATCCCAAGTACAGATCATACTGCATTGTTTAGATGGTCTAAAATATGTGATCTGTTTAAAACCTGAGACAAGTGATATGTGAAGATATGACACCAGCCAGCAACCTGGCTGTGCAATCGACTGCTGGGTCTTTGAACGAGGAACCTGAAAGAAGGCAGAGCTGGAGGGAACAAGGTGAATTTCCAGGACTGCTGGCAGAGCAGACACAGTGGCATGTTCATGTTGCCATAACTACCCTTCACAAGTAATGGCATTCTGTGAAAGAAACTGAAATTAAAGTCTGTGTTTTGCACATCAGGGAGTAGAATTAAATTAACAGAAACAACTAAACTGGTAGCTATGCCAAATCAAATAGCAGAGATCGAATAGGGAAAAAAGAGAAAAAAAAATATCCAGACTAATTTTTCCCAGCCAGCTCTCAGCTTCGTTAAAGCAGCAGAAGAGAAGAGTGTAACATATGAAACAATGTTAAAATAGGAACAGCCTTAACCCATCAGAATATCAGAACATGCAGGGAAACACATACTGCACTGCATGTGTGGCAACAGCAAGGAGGTCTTGAGTAGTTTAGAGATGTAACCATTTCAATCTTCACTATCATGCAATACCCTCAGGAAAGCGATTCACTGGTGATAATGGCCATTAACACACAGTTGGACTGCAGCTGCTGTACTGTAGGTGTCTTAATCCAGAAATAAAGTCAACAGGTTCTGGAATAGGTGTCTTGGCCTGTTCAGTCCCTGATCTGATTGAGACAGTAAATTTAACAGGAGAGGTAAAGAGAAGACAGCAATGAGCACCTTCTGTACATGCTGATTATACACAGGAGTATACAGGGGTGACTAGGGCTGATCTGACAGCAGTCTTCGGGGGTGCACTGCTGACATTGTGTGACAGACTCACTCAGGTCTGTGCAGGGGGGGCTGCCAGCATAGCAACATTTTGATCTGTAGTCGATTGCCACCAAACATCTCATTTCCTTTCCAGAAGGGAGAGGACATTTCTGCAGAACACCCGTTTGTGCAGAATCTTTTTAACTTGTACATAGTAATTCCAGAAGATCCAAAAAACATGGTTTTGTATAAAGTGAGATTATTTATTAATTAATTATTCTGCTAGGTATCAGATCCATGATTACACAATCATACTGTCTTTCTATAACTCTATATACCATCCCATAGTGTGCATTGCCCCCTGTACTTTCCATACTAGGTGTTTATTTACAAATAGGGTTTTTTTTAATTACGCTTTAACTGTTTAGTCCCAGATGGGTTAATGAACTTCAAGTAATACCCAGGTTGCTGATTAACCATTGCTGTTATCACTGACAGGCATGCCACCATGTAACCCATTTACTTACAAGCGCCTGGGTGTGAATGGCAGCAGAAAAAAATACACATTTACCAGCAGTAGCTCTTTCCAATTTGTTGGTACACTAGAACTGCAATTGCAACTACTTCCTAGTTCTTTACTTCCAGTACCAGGCAAATAACAATACTGCCTCTAGACTGGTAGATTCCCTAGATCCGTGTGTGGTTCCATGAAGTAAAAACCTGGCATTTCTTTAAAGAATCTGCTCAACAAAGTGTGTTAATGGTTTTCCTGTACTTTGTGTGAGTGTGAGGGAAACGGCACAAAGCCGCCTCACTCACTTGCCCGGGCCCCTGTCACAGAGAGAGATTTCAGACGGGGCTGAGGTCACGTCTGTAACACTTTCAGCACACTGAGCAGCGTTACACAGAGACCTTCAAATCTAGAACAATTAAGTCAGCAATTCATTCAAGAAAGATCATTAGAAGTCCAGGGAGAAATTAAAACTGCACGACACCACGGTCCCGCAGAACAAGCGATGCGCTCCGGAATCATTATTAACATAGCGCCACCTTTACAGCCTTTCCGACGCAGTGTGCACCGATTTCGAGTCCATTGAATTTATTTCCTCTGCATTATAACCACCTTTGTGCATCATAACGTCAGTCATACATGAGCAGCATTAATTTACTACAAAGAAAAAAAATACTGTTCCATCATATATACAGAGAAAAGCATATATATATTAAAAGTTTCGGGCTCGGCGAGGACGTACTCGGTGACTCGGACACTCGTTGAGTTAAGAAAACAGCGCTTTTATTAAACTTAACACCTGCGCCTGCGCCCCAGCAGAGCAGAAGACTGACTCTGGAAAAAAACGAGCAAGCGCCTGAGAGAATCGAGAAAGAGCAACACACTGGGGTCTACTCGGGTACCTACACCGGTATAGGGTGGCAGGTATTTCGTACCTGGTGCGAAACCAGGGAACTATTTACAAGAATCCGAGTGATCTCCCCAGAATGTACGCCAGTACAGTGGGTCAGCTGCACTGGTCAGCGGCTTTACTAGTCCCCCCCGACCACTACTACTTCCGTCCTGCCTCTCGCCGCGCACCCCAGCCGGGCGCTCTTCGGCTGCAGCGCCAGGCGAATGCGCTACAACAGTGGTTCTCAAACTTTTTGGACCAAGTACCACCCCTAATCCAACCAAAGCATCCAAGTACCACCTACAAGTCATCATCTCATAGAAACCCCAGAAACTATAAATGACCAACATGAGCGCATGTGCACACACACTCACACATACATATAATAAATATTATAATAATAAACTTTGTTTGATATATTAAAATGTGGCTTCTCAAAGTGTTTTACAGAAAAAAAACAACACATAAAAATAAAAAAGCACCTGTTTAGAGGGGTGAGCCTGTTTAGTTGAGCAAAGCAGATGTGAATTAATTTTTCGAGCCTTGATACAATTCACAACAGTCTTAACAGATTTTAAATCGTCAGGCATTTTCTTGACGGCAAAGGTCTCGTGGTGGATGTTGCAATGAAACCATTAATTTCTGGAGCAACCTCTCTAATTCGTTCAACTACACCGCTGTGTCGGCTTGTCATTGCTCTAGCACCGTCTGTACAAACTCCGACACATTTTATCCAGTCGATGCCATTCTCTGCGATAAATTCATTCGAAAGCTGAAATACGTGCTCTCCTGTAGTTCCTGTTGGTAGCGGCTTACAGAACAGAAAGTCCTCACGGGACGTACCCTCAAACTCCTATCTAACGTAAACGAGCAAATTGGCCAAATCGACTACAGACTCATCTAATTGCAGTGAAAAACATCTGCTCATCTTAACGCGCGCTGTCAGCGTACTTTTGATATCATATTTCATTTCAATAATTCTATGAATGACTGTGTCTTTCGGGGGGGAGGCAGCAGGTCGATCTGTTCAGCAGCTTTTTCTCCACACCTAATAGTGTGGGGCTTACCTGCTTTAGCAATCCGCAAGCGTGCATTTTTCCACGTTTCCGTTTTTATTTCAGTGTTTATTTTAAGTATTTATTTCATGCGCATGGGAGAGAAACACAGAGACGCTCGGTGTATTTTTGTCAAATTAACTTAGAACAATTTTAAAATAATTTTCTGTTATTTTTCACGCCTTTCTGTGCTCACAAGATTACCAGCGTTCGTAGAACGCATTTCTATGCATTCCTGTGTTTACAACGTTGGCATTGTTCCAAAATCACGCACATTCTCATTTCTCCCTATTTGCTGGAGATACAGTAGCTTTTTTTAAATACAATTGGTCACTTGCGTCCGTGGCACGCATTCCTATAGAGTGGTATAGAATTACAGAGTATCTCTTGTGTCCACTGAAGTATTAGCGCGCACTGTATCGTAGCACCTAGGCTGCGTATTCGACACGTATAAAAATACAAAATATGAAAATCCGTCCCGATTTTTTCAGCGCACACAACACAGTTCCAGGGTCATTTGGCGTACCACTTGGCGGCACGCCACGTACCACTGCCGGTACGCGTATCACAGTTTGAGAACCACTGCGCTACAATATTATTGTTTTTAATATGCAATTACAGACAGCTTTGTCGATCAACCATCTCTGAATTAAATCACGTTTTCTCCATGGGCATAAATCCAAGAGACTTTGGCCAGTTGTTCTACATTTAATTTATCGTAATCTCTACATCTAGTATCAGATTTTCAGTTGTCTTGTCTAATATTGTTGTGACATTTTTTGTGATCATTTTACTGTAAGCGGGTTTCTGTTCTTTCGGGCTTAAACCAATGAAATCACAGCTCCGGTCAGGACTACATTTGTATTGTAACGCTACGGCGTTCACGTCGGCCCCCCACCTTCGGGGACTCGAACCCGGGCCTCCAGCGTCACTCAGCAGGGACCCAGCCTCTTGAGCCTAAGGGGAATCTCCCGTCAGCCCGGCGGCTGCGGTCCCTGCTATTCACAGGGAAGGGCGGTGACGTCACCGCGCTGGTCAGCCGGCTCTCACGAGCAATGGAGGCCGTATGCGTTACAACTATAAATATATATAAAAGGAACGTGTCCTTAGCAATATAAATACTTAACACTAAAATTTAAAAAAAAACGTTATTATGTATGTATATCAAAATCGAATTCCTTATAACAAAGGATAATTTTCAATTTCAACAATATAATTTCATATTGACACATTATAGTTAACCAAGTTCATATGGTTCTGATTTATTTTATGATACAAATTAAATTAAAATTAAGTAGCATAGCAACTCGCGTGTATTAGGCGACAATCTTGCAACACGATGAGCATCACTAATCGAGCCCCGATCAACAGGCTCGCTGGCTTGAAACGGTGCGCGCAGTGCATGCTGGAAATTGTAGTTTGCCTCTCACGAGTGCCTCGCTGATACCGCTCAACTTGCCTTATGCGAAAACTCCAACTCCTACAATCCCACAGCTGCATAGCGTTACTCTGCAATGGCGAGGTTCTTGGTGGACTACCTACCGAAGACTTCTTAATTAAAGTTACTATCAGTCAAATACACGCGGATTTTTTTTATTTTGCAAAGTTTAGGTGTATTGTTTTTGACATTGCGTTCGGTCAGCCCAAAGCCCATTTTTTGTTGTTGTCGCTTTTTATTAGCATACTTACAACTGTGACAGTTTTATTTCGAAGGGGCAACATGCTGTTTTATTTGATACTGAAGTCCCAGCAGGTGAGGTCAGCCCGGTGCTGCGGCTTTCGATGCTACCGACAGTTGCACAGGGACGGCGGGAGCTTGCAGCGCGCCTCGCCCACAGCTGCCGTGCGGTCCGTCTGTGCGGCCGGGCTCCGCAGCGCCCTGCACGTCCCCAAACTGGGCGTCCTGGCCGATCCCGGGCTCAGAAGGGGGAAGCATGAAAGTTCAGGGCAGTTACCCGCGCAGGGGCGCCGAGGCGACACTTCGACACTGTCCACAGCCCAGAAAGGTGAGGGACTGGCCCGGGAGCCGAGGTCGCGATTTGCCCTAGACGCTATCTGGGACAAGGTACTCACGGTGGAGCTGGGTGGCCTCCCGGTAATTCATTGGTGTGGGCAGGAAGACAGTGATACCAGTTTCCCTCGCTGTCCAAAAGCAATGACAGTGTCAAGCCAGTGGATTTAAGAGTGAAACAATAGCAAGAGGACAAAAATGGAAACTGCTTGGAACTGCGTTTAAAAGTTTACTCAAAGGGCTGTGCGAGTGTGGAACAAGCTACCTTGCCAATATCCTGGTGTAGTTCAAGAAACAGCTGGGTAAAAGCTACCAAACTAGCTACTGTAGGTGGACTGAATGTCCCCATCTCGTTTGTATCCTTTCTTAAAAGGTTTCTGGTAGGTCTTTGTTCTTGGTGGACAAATGAACTGTGTTTGCAAGAATGCTCCTTTGGAAAGTGGGTTAGAGTGAAATTCTGAAACAAGTGTGTATAAGTGTTGCTGGGCAGCAGAGTAGAGTGGTGGTTAGGTTAAGACGGGGAGGTTGGGAGTTCAAATCCCAGGGGCACTGCTGCTGTGTTCCCGAGCACGGGGCTGCACTCAGACTGCTGAAGTAAAATAAGTCTGTAAAATTGGGCACAAGTGCCGCGTTGCTCTGTTTAAAGGGCTCACTCTAATAATAATAAAAGTGTTCCCAGACTGTTTAGACTGGCAAGTATTTTTAAAAAGAGAAACAGTAATGTGCTCTCTTTTCTCCTCCTTGCAGTCAAGAAAGCTGGGAAGGATTTCACGTATCTAATTGTGGTGCTTGTTGGGATTGGAGTAACAGGTAAGTTCTCGTGACCAAGGTGACAGGAGCTTCCTGTTAATACACATTCATTACGGAAAACGGGTGTGTTTTTATTGTTTCATCAATTTAACATCAGTTATGTGCATCTAAGATTTATTATATTTTCACATATGGAAATCAGTTTCAAATTAGAATGCTATAATGTACCTGTACCATATGCAATCCACAGAAACACCAAGAGCGTGAAAACATAAGAAAGGTTACAGAAGTTATGCAAAACCCTGCACTTGCCTGTATTGTCTTCAGCCAGGCGCTCACCCAGTCATGAGATCCACATTGGAGCCTGTGATGGCAATTCTATCCCAAAGGAGTGGGGGGGGGCAGTGTTTCATTGGCCTTTGTGTGGGTGAACTGTGTCTGTAAGCAGGAACAATGTTTGTGCAAGAACAACGCTGGAGCACGTCCCCTTAAAACAGATTGAACTGCATATCCTAAAACTGTGTAAGATTTAAAAATATGTCAAAACACAGATCCGGGGCTGTTGTCCACTGCATGGTGGATGAATGCAATTCGATAGACCAAAGAGATAAGAAGTCAGACAGCGAGGTGTGAACTGAGGTGAAACATTACTTTGTCTTTTATCAAAGTAAAGATTCGCAAAAACCCAGTATTTGAACACAGACACTGGTGGGTCACTTTTTAAAGATTTAATCAGATTTGCTTGTTTTACTTACATATTCAACAGTTTACTTCCAAAAATCCCAAATTAGTAGGAGTATGTGTTTTATGGTACCTGGATAAAAAAGAACAACCTTGCACTTCTTCAGTCCATTTTAAAACAGCCTGGAGATGATGGATGTTACAAGCCATTTTCTAGAACTGTATTTATGTTTGATGTTATGATCTTTTCATCAGTCTTAATGTAGAAAACGATCCAGTCAGTTTTTCATTAGTTTTCATTAATGTCTTTGGATTATTAACTCAGTGCAATTTATCAGTGAACATTGCAAGTACAAATGCAGATGACAACCATGTAAACAAAGGAAGGCTTTCCTGAGGTATAACAAGCTATTATTAATTACCTAATTATCTGTCAGTTCACCTTTTAACTCTGCAGAATGTTAATGTGTTGCTGGCAGCTCAGTGTTTGAGGTTAATGCACTGAAAACTACATCATGGTCATTATGGATGGGAGCTGAAACATATCAACTGCTTTTATGCACAATCATGAGTTTGGGATCATGGATAAATTCATCCATTGTATTGCTTTAACATGCTGAACACATTTGCATGCATTGTTTTTACTAAATGAATGAGGGCTATTGAATTTCATTTTTGCAAATAGTGAATTAAGATGCCATGTCTTCATTCTGTTCTTTTGGGGGAAAAAAAGCTTTCTGAATCTGTATTAGGTGGAGGAGTTGGTAGCCATAATTTCTGCATGACTGTGTGTCTTTGTCTTAATTACAAATCGGTTGATTTTCTTTTTCTTCAGTATTTAATACGTATGCTTTTTCAATTATTCTACAGTCCTATGAGTTCAGTTTAAAAAATCATTTCTGTTCAATTTCTCATTCATCTATTGTTGTTTGTATTATGTAGCCACAATATAAAAACTGCAACCACTTTTATTTATAACCTACTATACATTTGAAGCCTCAGAGCACATTGGATTGTTTTGATTAGCCCTCATTGACTCTCTCCTTCCTTCAGGTGGATTATTCTATGTTGTCTTCAAGGAGTTGTTTTCATCTTCTAGTCCAAGCAAAATCTATGGAAAGGCTTTGGAGAAATGCAGAGCACATCCAGAGGTAAGGTTAAAGAGGGCTCTTTGCACAAAGGGAGAAAATCAGAACAGAATAATCTATGTGATTAAATACAATGTTACACACTGAAGTGGAGAACCCAATTCAATAATTTTGACCTGTGTGGAACAGTGCTTTGCTGTGTGTTTAGCACCTGTCCCACATATTTAGATTCAGAGCTAAAAATTGAATTGAAATAAGAACTTAAAAAAGGATGTGTAAAGGAAGAAACCATCTGTCTTAACTAGCGTGTTCAGTTTAGAGCAGATTGAAGCCAATGTATTCATATTTGAAGGAAGTTTGAGGGAATTAGCTTTTCTCAGATTTAAATTTACTTCCCCATTTCAACTTGGTGTAATTTCAACTTGTTGTGCTCTCAGTCATGTTTATTACTAACCCCCAAGACTGTCAGTTGGGTCGACGTTGTCTGTGCCATTAAAAGTTTTGAATACCTGAATCCGGTCCTCTCTTAGTCTTCTCTCTTCAAGAATAAAGTGAAGGGTCATTCCTTTGAGTCCAGTAAAGTATCTGGTCACTCTTGTCTGGAAACAAAACAACCATATCTTTTATATTTTAGCATGGTATCCACAACTTACATATTATCAGTGCATAGTCCACTGTTAATGGGGGTCCGGTGAGTATTTTGGGGAATACCTAAAGGCAATATTTTAAATTGTAAAGGAATCTGAATGTGGCACATGTAATCTCAGAATTAAAAGTAAGTTAAGAGGTGTGAGGAAGCTGGGGTAATATAGGTTTCTGTAGAATATAAGATGTGTTTTGCTGTGCTGTACCATGCTGCCTGTGCTCTGATGTGCTCTGCCGTGCTGCCTTGTCACATATCCTTCTCTTTTTGAATTGTTGAGATCATTGGAGTGTTTGGAGAGCCGATCAGAGGCTACGGGGAGACGACGCGCCGTGGCAGAAGGCAGCATGTGAGGTAAAACAAGCGTAACGCCAGGGTCATCCGAAAGCCAGTCCAGCCCTTTCCCCTGGGCTAGTTACCCTGTTCTGATGTTTGTTTCAGTCACATGGAGTACATGAAGGATGGGGTCAAGCACATGAGGTTAAAGTTTTACATCGATGGGGCTGAACCAAGACTGCAAGGAACTGCACATGCAGAAGTTCTGGAGGTACAGTGGCACGTTTTCTCTTTCTTACTGAACTAGCAGAGTCAAGAACCATCTGAAGTCAAATAAACTGCCTTTTAAGTGATTTTTCATCTCTGCGGAATGTTACGCTCAACGTTCCTATGTTCCTTGTGGTAGCTGTGACCTGCAGCTCCCGAACTTTCAGCCTTAGTCTTTTTCAGTCTGCAGGGCCTGTTGCAGATCGCCGTCTTCACCACAGACACACTAACCAACCAGTTTCATTACCACCAGGATGCTTTGAGTTCTGAGTGTTAATTCAATTATTTTATTTGTTACATTTGTTTTTTGCAGAATCCCAAAACAGGAAAATATGAATTCCGCTACCTGTTTGTGGACGTAGATACATACCCACGAAGAACAATTGTTGTTGAAGATAACCGATAAAGGCATTGATTAGCAGGATAGAATATCTTATTACAACCAATAACAATTCTGGTTCAGTGTGGAAGCTTTTCTGTCAGCAGACGTGATGATTTGAGAAGAGAATAAAGATGGGATTTGTTTATCTGGATTCTCTTAAGGCTTTTTCTGCAGAGGTATTAATTTCTAGGGGAATAATAATGGATTGCAAGATGGATTGTAAGAATAGCTGCATTACAGTGGTAATTATGGTAAAAAATGTATACATCTTCTTCCAAAAGGAATTGTTTGCAGGAGAACATCCGCAGATAGTGGGGGTTTAAAAATGAGTCAAATTAATTATTGTGACAGAAAGAAATATCAATTTGAATTATTGTTAAATTGCTCTTTGAAAAGCCAGATGCCTGCATCATTTTGATTCGGTTTTGAGTCATTTTGAGTTTTTGCTACTGCACCTTCTAAACCTTTTCACCCCAAAAAATAAATGCACAAATCCTTTTTCCAATGAATTAGCAGAAAATGTTTCACACACAAAGTATTGTAAAATATAAAGAAGAAAAGGAAGCAGTGATATTCAGAATGAGATTGCAGCTTGTTATATATAAAATAATAAAAGCACGATTCGTGCTCAGCTTGCTGCACTCCAGAGCTTCCTCAGGTGGTCAGAGTTCCGCTCGGTTCGAGCTGTCCTCAGCAGCCTTAGCTTTTCCAGGCTGTTTATTTTCATCAGGCTTCATGGCTGGAAACAGCAGAACCTCCTGAAAAAAGAAATCCAGAACAGCTGCTCTGACTGGGTCTTTACTGGCAGAGAAGAATCAGCCTCCTGTGTGATGCTGCTGTATATGTGTATTAATCTTGAGCATTGAACAGAAGTTTTACATCAACTTAAACTTATTCTAAGGACATGTGATTCTTTCTTTTATGTAATAAACATTAGCTTTGCTGTCTATAAAACAATTATAAAACTTTTTTTTTCATTTATATGAATTATGTATTGTAGGGTCAGCTGTTCTGTTGTTTGTAATTAACTTTTATGCAGGAAATGTTTGGATCCATTTCATTGCATTCTGTTCTGTTTGTGGCTCATTTTTAAGTTTTAAATTATTTTGTGCAGCATTTTTACATAATATAAAAGTTTATACCATTAATGAAGTGTTTATCCTTCCTCTTAGTATAAATAGGTAGTGCTGTCAGTCTTCACATGTCACATAAACCTTAAGGGCCAAATTTACTAAGACCAGGATCAATGCAAACATACTGCAATTTACACCTGTGTTGCAACAACTCACAGTTAACATGGCTAGAGAGACTGTTAACAAGAAGAGCTGAAATGTACTAAGATGCACATATCCTGTGACACTTTAGCAAAGGAGTGATCTCGGAAATAGGCTTCAGAATACATGGCAGTGGTTAACATTGTAACATTATAATAAGAGTCTGAGACAGCAATGCCTAAGGTGAGTAATAGTTTAATCACTGAAGGAATGTCATGAATCCTGTGAGCAAGACGTTTCGGGTCATATTGGATACATCCAGTGGCTCCTGTTTTTCCCTCCTGTGTATGTAGTGGAAGAGGGTAGAGAGGACATGGAGTATGCTTTTTTGTTTTTTTTTGTATTTCCCCAAATTTATTAGTAACCATTTTACAACTCGTGAAACAGGCACTATTCCTTAGTTTTGGTGTGCTCCTCAGACTGCTGGAGAAGAATTTGATGCTCTTCTGTAGAATGGCCAATGAGCCAAGCAGCCCCATGCCATTTGTGTGGGCAAAAGCAAATGCCCCCTCTCTGTGGAAAACAGAAATGGTTTGGCTTATAAAGCACCCCAGTTCTTATCACATACCTTGATGTTGTTGGAGTCCGTCAGCAACATGGTTAGACGGTCGATCCCTATTCCCCACCCTGCTGTTGGTGGGAGGCCGAATTCCAAAGCTGTACAGAAGTCTTCATCAACGCTCATCGCTTCAGTGTCACCGGCGTGTTTTGCCTGTCGATGTGGCGTATACATGTTCTGTACAGTCTTGTGTGGTCAGTATTGCAGCATGGCTGGAGCTTTTTTGCTGAGAATTTATATTCACAGGGATAAAGGACTGGCTATAGTGTGTGAATGACAGTCAAGTAATCACATACATACTGCAGTAAACTTCCCACTTGTTAACATATTGGGTTTCAGGTGGAATAGAGACCGCTTAGTAGACAGTTGGTACCTTGGCTTGTTCTTCAAAGAGCTGCCGCTGTACGTGGGGATCATTGAGCTCTGTGTAGGCATTACACAGCTCGTGCTTCATGACGAACAGCTCAAACCGCTCAGACAGGCCTGCCTCAGAACGGTGCCTGAAGGAAAAGCATGCTGAAGTTACAAACATGCAAGATGACTGATATCTGAGAGAACAGATCCCATAGAGAAATTCTTGCACTGTGACTAAGTTAAAGTATACGAATAAACGTAGTACAAACTATATCGTTCAGGATCTAAAGACAATTGGATTTCTGCTATCATGGTTATGCTCTGACATGTAGGCCTACCATTTTGCCAGAGGGCTCATGGTCTGTGGATGATCACAGATGAAGGTGGGATTGATGCAGGAGACCTCTAAGAACTCTCCAACCAGCTGCAACAACACAAGGTTTGAGCTGACGATTTAAAGTTATAAAAAGTTGTAATGGATATTTGCTGTATTAATGTATATAGCAAGAACCTGAAACTGAATTTTTCTGTGATTTACTGAACCACAGCTGCCGCTGAGGTATGTTAAAGTTTTTCAGCTTTAAATATTTTCTGGAATGACCAGAATCACATACTTCATTGGCCATATCATAAAAGTTAAAGTCATTAATGCTTTTTACACATGTATAAAACTAATATAACAAGTGGTGTGCAAAAATTGTATCTGAATCATTCAGCTTCTTTTTGGTTTGATCAGAGATGCGACTTAATTTAGAAAGTGATATGTTACCGGGAGAAATTAATGCTGAAGGCTGGCCGCCCTATAAACCTTTTAGAAAGTTAACAATGCAGGACCAATGCTAAAAAAATAAAATTGAAGGACCTTATCTAAAAGTCTTGCCGAGGTCCTGGGAGCACTGCATTCCAGTCCTTTTTCTTGACAAAGTCTCTCTAGAAACTGGCGGGACTCTGTGATGGAAAATATGTAGATATTAGTTATTTTCACCGTTGTTCTGAAAGATCAGCATCAGACTGTGCAGCAAGTTTATGGCTTCAAAGCTGTTGTAGACCTTTATTGTGGTTTGTTCTTCTTTCCTGGAAGATAGTTTTTTCCCTATGAAATCAGGGGTTTGGAAGTTTTGGTATTTTTTCTACTATGATATACTAAAGGTCTGTTATACCAAGGGATGATTACATTGAGTTTCTTGTATGTAAGTAAACAGTATAACATATTCTGCTGGAATTGTTTTATTCTGTGTGTGAGTTGGCAGCTCCAGGGAAGAATAAACCCTTAAGACCTCCCACAGAAGGGCATTCATGAGCCTGAAATCGTAAAGATGCCCTGGTCTTTGAGCAGGAATCGGGGCAGCAGTGATCTACGCTGACAAATTCAGTCTGACCTTCGCTGTCCAATGCGTCTGCCGCAGGGAGACTGACTCCCAGCACCTTCCGCAGTTCCTCCATCATCCTGATCCTGCGGAAGGGCGGAGTGAAGTCGATCTCTACCACCTCGCCTTCAGGGCCTGCAGGATGGTATGTTATCTTGTAGCCGCCTGTGAGCTGCAGAACCATGCCTGTGGGGGCAGGAAAGGTTCCAGAACAGACCAAGAACAAATTATTCTGACTTTTAAAAGGGCTGCGTTCTCCTTATATTGATGTGGAAAACTTTTGGTGTTTCACACTAAGCGTAAGTGGTCAAACTAGAGTACCAATCAGCCTGGATGGGCCGGATGGCCTCTTCTCGTTTACAGCCTTTTTTACGTTCTTTTGATATATTAGTCCAAGCTATTAAAAAAAATATGTCTACATAATTTAATTTAATCCAAAGCTATTGGGCTAAATAGTATTTAACAGGTTGATTTGTTTACATCTACCGAATGTAAATCCTCTCTCCTGATGCAGTAATAATTTTCTGGTACAAGAGGGCATGTTTGCAAATGGCAAATCATAGTCCCAACATAAAATGTCATAAAGGTATCAGAACAAAGGAGGGATGTTAACCTGAATGATGTGAGCTGTTCCACTGGTCATGAATTCATTTACTGCACGTCAAGCCAGGGAAACAGCACAAAACCAAAACTACCTGAGATTCTTGTTAGGAACATGTGTTTGAAAGAGAAAATTGTTGTTGGTCAACATATTTTGTCAGCCAGAAAAGCTGTTCATGTTCAGGTTGAGAAGTACTATTTGAAATCGGAAAGTTATGTAAGTTTCCATATCCGTTTAATTAAACATGTAAACAGAGGGTTTCATGTCCATTTTATAAGTATAAGGGCAGTTATTTTTGCCATAGCTAGAAATGTCTTAGTCTACAGTACAGTAATGCCATGAGCTGCACATTTCACCAATCTGGAACCATTTCAGTTTGCTTTTACAGTGGGAGAAAACTGATTTGTACAATCACATGTACTGTAGTAATACATTTTTATATTGGTCTTCTTTCCGTTCATTCTCTGTCATGTTTTAAAATTTACCAAAGCTTAACTCCCTTTACAGTGATCCAGTGTCACTGACAGTTTGCATAAATAACCTTCACTGAATTATAGTTTGTCAGATTATAGATTTTGGACTCTAAAGCTTCGCTCCCTTAACATCACACCGAGACAGGCTCTTCTCACAGTACCTGCCAGCAGCTCTTCAGTGATTTCCATCAGGTCGTTGTAGTCAGCATAGGCCATGTAAAATTCACATGTGGTGAACTCTGGATTGTGGGTCAGGTCAATGCCTTCGTTTCTAAACTGGCGCCCGACTTCGTACACTCTATCCAGGCCTCCCACAACGAGCATCTGGAGGGGAAAGATGTCGGGTGTGACTGAGCGGGATGAGCAGAGGGACATGCCCAGCTGTGAGAGATGTGGCTGGGGCTGGGTAGTACCTTCAGGTAGAGCTCAGGAGCAATCCTCATGTACAGGTCCATGTTCAGCTCGTTGTGATGGGTGATGAACGGCCTGGCCGCAGCCCCCCCAGCAATCATGTTCATCATGGGGGTCTCCACCTAGGAAGCCAAGAACAGCCTGAAGCCTCAAGCACAAGTTGCCTCCTCCTTCACTAAGGAAGCTGCAACCACACTCCTGGTTTAACCAAAATGCTCAAGTGCCCTTCCTGTAACTGGAGATAAACCATGCAATAATTTAACAACTGACTTAATCGTTTCAGAGTAATTTTTAAACATGACTGTGCAAAAAACAAAAGGGAACACTTGATGAAAAGTGTAGTGTTGTTAAAGTTCATCCTTAACTCTTCGCAGTTTGTCAAACAGTTTACTAGATTCAAACTGATTAAATTCATACACAAGAGTAATCCCACTTTATCTCCCTTATATATGAATATATTGTTTAGTGAAAGCTCTTCATCTTCAGCATGACAATGAAAAACATCATAACAAATTACCATCCAAAGAAATATAAGTAGCGAGGTTCATTCCTGTTCTTGATGTTACACATCAGAGATAAATGCACTGTAATTAGTTATACTAAATAGCTGTAGTTTCTTAACAAAGAACGTCATCAGTGAGCTAGAACACTGTACTTTTACCGTGGTATAGACAAGCTATGATTTTACTTTTTGAAACCTTTTTCTTAATAAGGTGTCAGATATTGTGTATAATTGCTATTTCATGACGAATAACTACACTGAAGATCAGAAGAATGCTTTGTGAATATTTATTGAGTATTTTAAATATAAAACATTTTAACTTAACCCTCCAGAAGATGAGGTGGTACAGACCCCATTCAGAGTTAGTAATTAACAAAGGGGTATCTGCAAGACTGCAGATGGGGTGGAGGAGAGTTGTATGAGTCAAATGTAAAAAAGAGGAGTTTGTGTGTGGTTTTATCTTAACTGTTTTTAACTAACGATTATGATTTTGAATTGCTGGTTAAAATTGACTTGTTTGTAATTATCCTTCCAGAAATTCAGTTAAGAACTTTCACTTAAGAAAATATGTAATGCATACTGTATATACATACCCTATGTAAAGTTGTTTTTGAAAGATGTAAATCGTACCTCCAGAAATCCTTTATTATCCAGAAAGCTCCGTAGGTATTGAATAATTTTAGCTCTTGTAATGAACTTTTGCCTCACTGAATCATTTAGGATCAAATCAAGGTAACGCTGGCGATACCTTTTCTCCTATAAAAAAAACAACAATTAAATAAAAAAGGGTGTCCTGCAGGTTGGTTTTTGCATCTCATCAAAGAGGTTATGCTGAGCTAGGCCCTGAAGTTCAAAGAAAGTTTAAAAAAAGACGACCCCAACACTTTGTTTCCAAAAGCAAAATGACAAAATACAGTAGTTACAAAAGGAATCATCCGTAAAGAAACAGGGATCTGTGCTCATCGGGAAAGGACAGACTTTGTTCTTAATGTCTCCTAGAAAACTGCTGCTGCAAAGTTACATTACATCAGTAACTGGTTCAGCAGCCCTCAGCCCCCGGAGGTCCAATAGAACCAGCACGTTCTGCATGCCAGATACTAATTAATTCCAGACGGGCATGATGAACATGTCTGTTGCCCCTCCCTGTGTGGGTGTGGTCTGCCTGCGCACCTGGTCCCGCAGGCCAAAGTGCAGGTGGGGCAGCATGTGCAGGCAGGGGGACAGCAGATGGAGCCGCACGGGGATGATGCTCAGTTCGCCCTTCTTGGTCTTGGCGGGGCTTCCTTCCACTCCGACAACGTCCCCGCGGTGCAATTCCCTGCTCATCTCCACAAACTGCTCCTCGGACGCGTAAAATCTGAAATGAGACAACGTTTTTCTTCCTTCTATGGCCACAATGACATTTTCTGCGAATCAAAGTGCAGGGCTCTAGTCACTAGAAAGACAGATCAAGCCCTTTACGGCTCATACCCTTGCAAAGGTCCCCCAAGCACGAATATACTGAGAGGCGTTAAATGCCATTGGTGCAATACTCACTCTCTGCATTTTAATGTCTCTGCAAATGTTAAGGGAACTGGCAGAAAACCCACTGGTCTTGTTTTTTCTTACTTTACTTATTCTTCCTAATAATAAATTTAATGCCATTTAACACATTGAATATAGACAGAAGTATGTTACTGTTATTGGTACGATGCTACTTTCTGTATGTGTTTCTGTAGACAGGGAGGTAATATACAGTAATTGTACATACTTGGCGTTTGCCATGATCTGTAACTTTACACCTTCTCCTCTGATGTCATAAAACAGAAGCTTGCTACTGGCTTCTCTCTTGGCGTGAATTCGACCTGGGCAACATAAGAACAGGTTTTAGAGTGCAGCAATATTCTAAAATATTTTTTTTTAAATCTCATACAAAAATATTTTATTGTGTGTTAGATAATATCAGAATCAAATATCAGGATCTCTTCATTTCTTAAGAAATGTGATGTGGATTACACTGGGAAAGCAAGCCGAGTAGCTGTGGATAAGGCTGGAGCACAGGCTCCTGCTTTACCTGCTATGGATGTGACCACATCCGTCAGATGCTCTTCTGCTTTGAGGTTTGCGTACTTCTCGATAAACTCCATGAGAGACATCTTCACGTGGAATTTGTGAGGGTAAACCACTTCGCCATTTTGTTTCTTCGAAACAATCGCTTCACTCCTCATTTTATTGTATTTCTAAAACAAACAGTTTTTTAAAAAAGCACAAATCTTCAATACAAAAAATAATAATTCCTTACACTTACATAGCGCTTTTCTGGACACTCCACTCAAAGTGCTTTACAGGTAATGGGGACTCCCCTCCACCACCACCAATGTGCAGCCCCACCTGGATAATGCACCAGTCTGCACCCCACACACCAGCTCTGAGTGGGGAGGAGAGCAGAGGGATGAAGCCAGTTCAGAGATGGGATTATTAGGAGGCCATGATTGGTAAAGGCCAGGGGGAAACCCCTACTCTTTTTTAGAAACACCCTGGGTTTTCAATGACCAGAGAGAGTCAGGACCTAGGTTTTATGTCTAATCTGAAGAACTGTGCCTTTTTACAGTGTAGTATCTCCATCACTATTAGGACCCACACAGACTCCAGGGTAAGTGCCCCATGCTGGCCCCTCCTCTTCCAGCACCTAACACCTCTTCCAGCAGCAATCTTAGTTTTTCCCAGGAGTCTCCCTCCAGGTACTGATCAGGCTCATACCGTTGAGCTTCACTAAATTGCCAGTTGTGTGATGTGGCTGCTGGCAAAAATATGTTTTATGTATATCCTGTTAAAGGACATTTAAATTTTTATAAGAAACAATACTGTAATATCATAAGAAATGAGGTGTTCCAGATATACTTTAAAGGGAGTACACAAAAGCACTTCACTCGTGAATAGTGTTGATGTCACACAGAGTGCAGCAGCATCATACTGATGCCTTGTACAGAGGCCTTTCATACAAGATGGCCCAGCCAGGAACCTGAAGTTACACCTCTTCTCTCTACTTGGTTGTCACAAGAAAACTGACTGTTTTAAGTTTGTGGTGGTTTGCAAGTCAGGTTACGATAAAAATCAGAGGTTGATTTTAAGATGCAGTGCTGCTGTGAACGGGCAGGAAGTGAACAAAAGTGCCAGCTCCACTGTGTTTCAGGACTCTCATGCTCCTGGACAGGCTGCTCCTGATCCAGAAGGGGTTTAATTAGTGGCCAGAACACCAACCTTCAGGTTCACCGAGACAGCTGAATGGATATATTGCAGACGCACAGGTCACTTGCTCCTGAGGGGAGTGCACTGCCTTCAGGAAGGTCACTTGTGGGTGAGCGGTTTGTGTTGGAACAATGGAACGACAGCAGTGTTAAATGTAATGAAACAGTCAGGCTTCAGAAAACGTGTGTAAGAAAGACGAAGCACAAGTGGTGGAAGAAAGGCCTCGATAGCCCTTTGACCTTTGCTCTGCTGGTGTCTGCTTCTTGTGTAGAGTAAGGGTGGAAAAACTGCAGTAAGATTCCACCACACTCTCTGATATTTAAAAGGCTGCTCTGTTGCTCTCAGGAATTAAAGTGAAACCTTCGATGTTTTGCCAAAAATTGTTTTGAAAATGTTCTAAAAATACCCACCTGTTAAATTAGTACAATAGGGTAATTTTTAAATAGTAAGGATTTTTTCTGTGTATTTAGGCTTTCGTTTTATTTGTGAAATCCTACATATTAGATATAAGACACAAGGAACAGAGTCATGCATGTAGAAAACTGAGAGAATAAACTGATAACCACAGAGTATTCCTGGGTGGAGCAGCCTTATCTGACATTTTGGGCTAAATAAAGATAAATAGTTCCAGTATCTACAAAACAGCTTCTCAAAAACTCTCCAGTTAAAATTGAACTATAGCCATTTAGCAGGAACCTTATGTAATTTTTAAATCTCTGAGGGATTTCACAAGCACCACAAAGAAATAAGAAGGATAACTGCTGTTTATATCCAGACAGACAGAAGAAAGATCTTCTGAACAGCTAATAATTTCAACAGGAGAGTCCAAATACAGTTTTCATTCATCATGGATTCACTTTCCTGTTATTGTGTGAAAATACACTTTTACAGTACATAATTTTCCACTGTCAAAGAATCACAAAGGTAGTATGAAGCTAATAATTCTGTTGTCCTTAGATGATTATGAATGTCATTTACTTACATGGGTCTCCACTTCCAAAGACTCAGTGATATTTCCAGTCTGTTTTCCACTACAAATAAGAGATAAGTGTTACTGTCAGTTTTAGACCTGATGGGGTATCTGCAGAATGACATACTTGTTTTTATATTATAGAAATATATACTATTATATTTATATTATTGTATTTATATATTATAGATGAATGTTATTAAATAGCACTGTATATTGTATATTGTAACCTAGTTCAGTGTGCCTGTATACAGTACGTGTAATGGAGCTGTGTGTTCAAGCTTTGATTTACTATACATAACTTACATATAATACTCCATTTATATGGATTATAAAACAATTTACATGTACATAATTCGCAGCTATCCCATATCAAGTACAAGTAAAATAAAACAAATAGGGACATGAAGTCTTAAAGATAAAAAATGGGTTAAACTACAAGGTCTTCATCTCCTTTTTATTATTTTAAAATATATTGTCATGGAATATATATCTTAATTTCTACAAGCAATACAACTTATTTAAAAGTGTTTACCTTGAAGTGGCATCTGTCTTGCTTCCATTGTTAGCCATAGTTCCCACACTCCTGGGGTACCTGAGAGATGTCTGTTCTGTGCCCTTGCTCAGCTCTAATGATAGTATTTACAAAGCTCAGATAAATACAGTAGCTACTGAAAGTGAAAGTATTGTGTGCACTCAGAATGAAAGCTATATGAGGTCACAAGGAGTGCCATCAGGTCTGGAGGGATTATTTTTGTGCTCTTGTTAGCTGCTGGCAATATTTTGAGAAGTTGGTCTTGTTTCGGGAAGATCGTTGTAGATTATTGTGGTATTGTATGCTGGTGCAGTAATGCTCACCTGTCCCGCTGCAGGGCAAACCAATATTAAAAGCCTCCCATCTTCTTCAATTTCTAGCTTAAAAGGCAAATAGATATTACACAAAATTACAAAACACACAAACTGGCATTTACAAACTACTTTTTACGACTGGAGCATTTACTAAACTAGAGATAGACTAGGTAGTTTAGTCTGCTGGACTAGACTAGAGCTTGCATCAAGATCCCAACACCTTAAAGACAAATTTCCACACTTTTGAATGGACAATAAAGTTATATAAATAAAGCTGTAATTCACTCTCTCCTGTCTCACATCTTGCAGGATTCTGAATACTTGCTTGATGTTTCCTTCTTGTCCCTTAAATCAACAACTATAGAGTTTAATTTTCTTAACTGCATCTATGTATGTTTGACATTGCTGTAAGGCCTGCATTTAACCTGGTAATTCTTGTTTCATTGGATTTCAGTGCAGTAATGTCCATTTGTAGCACAGCAACCAGTGCTGAAACAGGAGCATTTTCATTTCCAGCTTGAACTTAAAATGCAAATGTTTAATACAGCAGACATTATTAACAGTTCAATATAACACTTTCTTTGGATATGCTATGACTTTGTTCAGTCTTGGAACCCTTTGAGAAATAATTTAAAGCTTTTCTATTTTTTTTACTTTTACTTTTGCTGACTTGAAATACAGAACACAGATCTTTTTCGTGCGTGTAACAGATTTTCATTATCCTTTGGTTTTGTTTCTCTTTTCTGGCAACACAGAAGGGTGAGGTTTTTACGTAGCAACCCGAGCAACTTATGATAAACTCAGAAGCAACAGAACAGGATGCTGGATGTTTACACTGGAGCAGTATTTACAATCTGTCTCTTAAGGCCATTGTTCTGACTGAAACTGAAGGAAATCCTGGTATTTTAGAGCACGTCTATGGGTCCTTTCTCAACCCAGAGAGGAACACATTCATGGACATACTGTACAACCAGCTAGTCTGAGGTGAAATGTATTTTATACAACAATGACAGCTCTAAATATTCCAGCATTATTTTTCAGTTACAAAAATGTAAATACAATGAAAAACAATGAGAAAGGAATTTGAAAGGTAGTTACAATAAGTATTTTTGTGGCCTAAAATACAGTAGTATGTTAGAAAGTCTTATGTTAAAGAAAGGATGTCACTGGGTTTCTTTTTTGTTGTTTTTTGTACTATTACTTGTGGTTTTTGCACAAGTAAAATAAATAAAAGCATTCCATTAGAAAGCAGCATGTGGTTTAATAGTTTTTCTTACAATACCTGAGACATTTATTTGAACAAGCAGTTTAGGAGTATTTTGAATTTCACTATTGTTGATGTATTCTAGAAAGAGAACTGGACTCAGCATAGATTCCGGTAGCATTCTTGTATTTACATGAGTCCTGTTTTACGTATGTGTCCTTATCAATACTGTTTTTTTAAAACCATTTCTCTTCGCCTGCATGTACTTTATCTTGGATTTCTATGGCTTTTGTTATTCATTTTTGCCACCCTTACACTGTTATTTTCTCTCTCTCAGTCTCTCTTATGGTTTTTAACTGAACTCAGTTTCTCTCGTCCAGTTGCAGCGAGTGTTAGGTCAGATCACATCACCATCTGTGCTGTGGTTTCCATGGCATAGGAAGTGTAAGAATCTGCACTCAAACTGCATTGATGATCAGCTTGGCTCTGGAGCTCTGGGGCTCAGAGAGAAACCAGGTCTTTCATAACCCTGCTGTCTTTCACTTCTCCTCTTGAATCTGTAAGATACTGGTCATTTCATAGGATGTTTTATCGCTTTATTCTGTTGTGGATTCGCCATAGGTGGGTAAAATGTGTTGATTGTTATCCCTGTGCTGTGTGTTTTCATTGTGACTAAGCAAAAAGTCCCCCCGTCTGGACTACCAAACCTGTAGCTGAGTTCTTCACCGCAAGAGCTACAGTAGCAGCAGGCTTCAAGGTCACAAACACAATATCATAGTCTGGATGTTGTGTTTGTCTTGAGAGTTTGTTTTTTTTTAATCCCCGAGATGAGCTCAATACCCTACAGTGCAGAACTAAATCAGCTTGAATAATACTCCAGCAGACTTTCAAACAGCATGAATCAGCAGAACCACCAGGGAAGCTGTGACTCATCCTGTCTCTGGGACCTGCCACATCCTGTATTCTTAAATCAACCACCTTATATACAGTTCTTCTGTATCTCTTCTGTAGACATCTAATTAATTAAATAATGATTAAAAAAACATAGCATTTAACTAAAGTCATAGAATGCCTTTGCAGACTGTCGTAAATTCCTTATTTCATTACTTGTTTCTGTGCTTTCAGTTGTTTCTCTTTATTATATCTGCACAGTAATTAACATTAAAATTGCAATGCCTTGAACAGAGATTCAGGAAAATCTGTTTACAATGCCACTACAGAAATAAAAGCACAGATAAAAGCACATAAAACCACAGATTTGAAAAAAATTATTTCAGCAATCTGAGCACATCATGTGCCTGATCCCAGAGGTTTTCACCTGTCCCTGCGGTCTCTGTGCAGTTCGCTCGTCTGGAGTGATTTCAAGAGTTCTCCCTCCAGCAGAGTATCCAGCATCAGCACCATTTCCACAGTGATGCCTTTTTCTGGAGCATTCTGGGTTCTAGTGTGTCTGGCACATGAAAATTACTCTGCAACTTTGCTGCAGTTTCTGAAGGGAGTCCAGTAGTCATACACCAAGCTGGGTATGTAACCTGTGCCAGATCAAGACAATTCCTCTGAGAAGGGTTATGAGCAAACATGTGAAATTCAGTTGATACCTGCCAGTAGTAATGGATACTGTACATTACTCTTATGCAAAAGGTAGTTTATTGAGAAAAAACATTACATGGTACTTCTTCCTCTGGCAAAAGGATCGCATTCAACAGCACATGCACATGCAAATCGCTGTCTGTAAAATGGGTAGACATTAAAACGGCCATCGACAAAGCCCAGATTAAAATATAAGAACAATTACTCGAGGAGGCCGCTCGGCCCACCAGCCTGTTCAGTAGTTACTAGTAATTGATCAGTGGATTTTATCCAGCAATGTCTTGAGAGAAGCCAGGGTATCAGCTTCGGCCACATGACTGGATGGGTTGTTCTACAACCCCACACCCCTTATAACTCCAGATTTAATGCTGTACATAACATCTGCCCAAAATTGAGAAGTTATTGGGAAAATAACATCTTCCCAGATTATGTGCCCACCTGCTGCCTAGCCTTGCTCTGTTGTTAAGGATGTGACCATACTAAGCCTGCAGACTTCAGGACGTCTTGGGACTGCTGATGGACAATCACTGACAATGTCTGGTGTCCTAACACGGTCTATGTAGCCCAGATATTGATGGGTGGACATTAAGACACACAACTAACTGATGCGACAGCTCAGCATTCCCTCTGACATGTGCCTGGCTCCGATATACAGACGTCTGAATGTGATTTGAGCTCCCTGTGTCCAATCCAAATGGGATTGTACATTCAGGAGAGCATCATTTGAATTTGAGCGTAACAGTATATGTCTTATCGTATTCGCACAGTTTTAAGATGTGTCTGTCATTCTGTGGCCGAAAGCGTACAGAATCCAGGCTTGAGACAAGACCATCGTTTTTTGTCATGAAATAAAACGTTCATTAAAAAAAGACTACGCTGGGCGAAACGTCTCCATGAACATGAAATAAAGTGTAATATATTTGTGTTCCATTAGATGTCAGTATCTGCCATGAATACTGAAAATTAGAAAGCAACTCAAAACATTTTAATTAAACTATTAAAAATAGATAATAATAATGGAGATTTCACTTTTTACTCCTAATTTAAAAACCAAATATGCACTTATCTTAAACGTATCTTCATTTGGTGAAAACGTTTGAACATGGTATTGTAACGCTTACGGCCGACAAGCACTGTGTGTAAGAGCCGGCGTACCAGAGCAGGTGACGTCGCCGCCCTTCCCTGTGATAGCAGGACTACAGCTACTGGGCTGGAGAGATCTCTCTTTGGCTCACGGGGCTGGGTCGCTGCAGAGAGACGCGGAAGTCCCGGGTTCGAGCCTCCAGTCGGGATGGGGCCGACCAGATGCGGCAAGGGCGCCCGCCTGAGCCCCCGTTGCGTTACAGTATCAAGATGACAATGATGGAGTTGAGATGTAATCTACCTTGTGTACATCGTGCGCACTTGGTAATGGAAATCATCACTCCTGTTTTCCTTTACAGAAATGGTATCGTCGAGGGGAAATGAAAAGAGAAAATAACAGTAGAATGTAAGCCTGTTCTGAGGACTGCTTGCGGCGTTTTCTGCAATTGTAAAATATTCATTCACGGGAGTCTGTAAAACGTTACCGACAGGAGAGCCTTACCTAGCCCCTGATTATTCATCTGAGTCTCGATTTCCTCCTCCGCCTCAAATAAATTTTAATAAAGTTCAAAGTTTACTTTCACTTCGCCTGAATCGAAACTCGAGCCTAACTTGTCAGGCGAGCGTGTGGGTGCAGTCATTCAGCCCGCACTGCGCTGGAGAACAACAGCTCAAGCGACAGCTGCGCTTCTGCAGAACAGGTAAACAGGCTTTTTAACGTGTGTGTAACAAGCACCGGTACAAATCTACAGGCGCTGAATAACTTCATAGGTTGTTTTTTATGTCGACAGTTTCCCTGGGGGATGTCTTGTTTATTTATGCGCTTCTTTATTGTAAATGGTCGTTCAACGTCGGAGTACAATGTATGAGCATCCACAACGTTTATTATTGGTTCACTACGAAATACAACACTTAGGAATTGAGCGAATTGAAAGTTTTTTTTCAGTCAGTGTTTTAGTGTTTTAGTCATAGTAAATGTGGGTCAATCAAATGTGGAGGGATGCAAAAAGAGGTATGCGAGGGAGAGAAGGGGATTATGCACAGTATTTTATCACGTTTTAGATCAGGAAGTGACGTCAGGAGTGATTATGAGTTACTGACAGTTGAGGCTGATTGAAGTTGGCTGTTGTCATCCCTCTGTACTTTAGTTATAAACTCCATTTAATGTTAGACTGGGACTGGGAGCTCTGACTGCAGACACTGGTCAGCTGCCTACTGTGATAGTGGACACCGGTCACATGGGTGCTCTGTGGAGTGTTTCTATACTATACTAACTATGCCTGAATCAAGATAATCAAACTAACACTATACATTAGAAAGAGATGTGAGCTAAAAACAGATTCCTGCAGTACCCATTACAACGTCACCCTAGTTTGGGCTGATGCAGGTTATCAGAGCTGTTTTCTTCCTTTTATCTAGGTATTAATCCACATGCCACATTACTTTAGATTTCTACAGCTTTCAAACTATGAATTAGTCATTTTATTTTATTTTGAATTAATTCTGACCATGTATTAGTACTGTTTTGATAGCTCGCAGTAAACACCATGTGAAAAAATAAACAGCAGATTTTGAAGCATAGAACCATAGTGCTCTAATTTTTTTGAAGCTGTTAGGAATTTCAGTGGTATAATCATAGCGTTGTATGTATAGGCCTCATGAGATTGTGAAGACTGTAGATTTCACAGGGGATGATCGACTTCTGATATAACCATGGCAACAGGAGCCTTACAGCCACCTTGGGTGGGTACCTCAGACCTCAGAGCTAACCTGCTTCTCTTGCTGCATAGTAACAGGAAGATACAAAAGCAGCCTGCGAGGCTGCAGGAGTCAGACAGATGTCAGCCTCTGATACTGTCTCTGTGCGCATGTATTGAATAAAGACCATTGCTGAGACGTACAGTATATTCTGAGCCTTGAGAGTTAGTCTGCAAAAACTACAATCTAAGATGAAAAGCAACTTTGATATGAAGTGTTTGGCTGTTTCATTTAAACTGGATGTGAGTACAATTATGCCCATAATAACTTATTATAATAAGCTATAATTAGCTATGGTTACAACTGACAGTAGTGACACTAGTTAAATCTCAGCAGACAACCGCAGCCTTTCCTTTCTTTCTGATGGGCATCTGAATGATTTCTTTTCTTGCTTCAAATTCAGGTTGATATGAAATATTTTTTAGTTTTTTCCAAACGTTTTGTAGGAAACTACAGTAAGAACAGTTTAAGTTGACCACTGCTTCCTCCTCTAAAGAGATGTTCATAATATGCATTATTATGATCTGTAATTATTATATTCATTAATGTATTGAATCATTCAAGGTGTAAGTTAAGGTTAGGACTTCATACTTCTGATGGGAAGTTTACACTGTAATTTGTTGTGTTTTGCTGCAGTGGAAGATGCCTTTGATGTAAAGGGGTCCCATCCAAGAACATGTCCAGTAAGGGAGGTCAGCAAAGTAAGTCTCTGTCTTTCTAGAAATTTCTGTGTGACACTTGACAGACAATGGATATGTGCTGTGGGTGTGTAAGTCCACGCATTTTGAGAATTGCTCACAAAGAATATAGAATTTTATCACCTTTTCAGCTGGTAACGTCCATATTTTATCTTGTCGTCTTTGATGGTAGCAAGTGTCTTACCTGCCTCTTACATGCCATGTGGTCTGATCCTCGATGGAGCTGAGGCACGCACTAGCGTGTCACTGACTGATGCCGACACAGGACGCCATGCTGCAGCAGCATGCTTGCTGGAGGGAGTATGGGAACGCTTGGAGAGAAGGGCTGGGGTCCCCTGGAGGGGGGGCTCAGCTGGGTCTGTGTGTGACTGGGTCACATCAAGCAGCCTCTTTCAAACCAATGAACCAAACTAGCGCTTGAACTGGATGACGTATCTCCAGCCACAGCCTTTTGGTAATAGAGCTCCCTCGCACCTTGAGAGCAGGGCCTCGTTAGAAAAAACAATTTCTCATTAACGAACGCCGCAGCGGCAGGTACCAGATCCGTTGGAGCAGGTGGATGCTGGGATTGGTGGAAATGAAAGCACGGCACCTCCGGAGGTCGGCCTGGGTTCTTGCGGCTTGGTTTGTCCTGTAGAATTTGTGAGTGAGAAGCAGTTTCCTCTCGTCTAGGGCCGCCCCCTCGGTCCGGCGGGGCCGTTCCGAAACAGCGGCACAGCAGCAGAGCCCGGGGGAGGCCCCTCCACTCCACAGGTAACAGCGATCCCATGATCCCACACTAGACAGCCGTTTTAGTAGTTATTCCAGTAGTCTTCTCAGTATGTATGCTGGAAGCTTTGAACAGCTCCAGGTACAAGGATCAATTTTAAAGCTAGTTCTTAAATTCAAAATGGCTATGCTTAGGGGACCTCTGATTTTACATTTAAAAATTTAAAAATAATGATTTAAAATTTGAGTTTTTAAACATATTATTGCAAAAGTACTGGGGTTGGGAATATGATGCTATCTATCATGATACTGTGTTTTTGTTTTATGTTGTCTCAAAATAATTATCAGTAATGACTAAATCTGAGCAGTACAATCAATAACCACCTTACTGTATAATCTTCCTGTGTGGAATTATTCTTAATGTTCTGACTGATGCTTTCATCCAAAGCGATTTGCATATGAATAGCTGTGCATTGTGCTGCAGCAGGTGCCAGATCTGCACCCATCCAGTTACACCCCCAGAGCCAGAGCCCTGACCAATCCCCACACCAGGAGCTCAGAGCCTGGCAATGGATCGGCACCAAAGACAGACAGTGTCTTGTATATTTAAAAGAATCTGACTGTGGAAACCTTGGAGGGCAGAAATATTATATACAAATTGCAAATGGTACAAAGTGCAAAGGGCACCGTTCTAATCATATACATATGTTTTTAGGATGTGTGATAAAATAACAACAGTTTGTTTAGGACACGTAGTTTGCATTAGCCAAGAGGGCGGTTATAAAGGAGCTACCATCATACTGAATGTGTATAAGAGTACAGTTTCAGAGCTTCAGCTGTCTTAAGAGTCTTTCTCGCAGCAGAGGAAGATCCTTCCTTTTCTGAAGACCCTGTCCTTCTTTCCAGAGTCCCCTCCAGTGTCCAGCGGCGCCCAGCCTGGGCCGCAGCAGCGGAGTGGCTCCTCCAGGAGGGACAGTCACCCTCGCTCACAAGGGGCAGGGAGAGATCGCGAGCCGCACAGCGCAACTCTCAAGGGTGTGTGTCCGGACAGCTGCTTCCCATTGCACATGAGACGTCTCTTCGCTCCCGCTGGAAGGAACAAATTCAAAAATGAAGGAAGAGAAAGCAGTGTTCTACTTTCTATTTAAGCATATAGTAAAAGGTTACTACTGAAGCATAGTTCAGTACTGTAATCAGTCAACCCCCTCTGGATGTCATCATGTAAAAGTTTGCAATATTTTTCTTAGCCCCCAATAGAACGGTTTAATTCAATTGAATTGCAATCAAGGCCTTTGCTGCTTCTTTAAAGTGCTTTTCTGAAAAGTGTCCAGAACACACTAGAAGATGACAGCCGTCTGTCGTGAAGCTTGGTGAATACACATGTATTGAGGCCATGTGCTTGGCCAGAGGCACGTGGCTAAAAGCCCTTTCAAGTATAATATCCTGATTCTCTCTAGATGCCTGTAGTTTACCACAGGGGACTTTTTGTAGAGGAGGACATTTGTGGAAAGATGCCTCTGTGTTGTATCCATGTCTCACACACTGAATGCCCAGCTGAGCTTTTATATAATACCAACAAGTGGTTTCAAATTAAACAATGAAAAAGTCTGAATAGGACCAGTCATATGCCCTTTTCAATTTCTAAGAAGCAGTTGAATTTAATTAGCTTATTTCTGAATATTGGATGTTGTACGTTTAACTATAGGATTAGCCTCATCTTGTTTTTCGTGTCAAATGTCTAACAATTCCACGGTTTGCAGAGACGCACGATGGAGACAGCAGCCGAGGCAGCCAGTCGGAAGACAGAAGGGGCGGCCGGTCTGCGTCTCGAGGGAGAGCCAGTGAGGGCACTGCTGGGCCTCGCTGGAGGCGTGACCACAGTGCCGGCAGGGGGCGTTTTCCACAGATGCCACAGCCCCTCAGCGTGGTGAAGAATCCAATGGCCATGATGTCTTATTGGGCCTTGGGTGGCTCGTGCAAGGCTGCTCAAGACAGGGGAAGGCCACTCAGACTAGGTGAGAGCTGCTTATGTAAAGGAAAAACACTGCAAGGGTGTGAAGAACATTCCTTCCACATGTCACATTAGTTCAAATACAATACTTAGTTTTTTTTTCTTTATTTGATGTAGTTCTGTGCATCTGTTGCATTTCAAACCACCTTCTTTCTTCGATGTATCCTGTGCAGATATCCCATTAATCTGTTTTGATTCTAGTTAATCAGCATGGCTCGCAGAGAGGTCACCAACATCTCTCCCAAGGAAGAAGAGTCTCCACTGAACCCAGGGAATCTGGACTCAAGCTGTTCACAGACCGCAGGCCTCAGAGTCTTTCCAGAAGTCAGAACGCAACATGTAAAGGTGAGGGGAATTAGAAAAGTTCAGCTCCTCATCATTTGTATTCATTTTATTTTATTTATAATTCTTTTTGGAGTTCCTCTGCTTGTAAAAATATGTTCTTTACAATAAAGTCTGATAAACCTAAAAACAAATCTAAAATACAAGATAAATTATATTTACAAACAATAAAAATTAGAAAGGTTAAACATTATATTTTAAACCTTCTCTTAAAGGGAGCCCAGGAGCTCAAACTTGTAAACCTTGAGCTAAATACTCAGAGAAGTTTTTTTCTAAACATTTCTAGATTCTGTCCCTGCAAGTGAGAGACATGGCACACAAATGCTGTCTGGAAAGAGAGTCAAAAGTATACCCAACCTGCTGGAGATCAGCTGTCATCCAGAGGACCACAAGCAAAGATGGCGAAGTGAGGAGAAGTCCAACAGAGCAAGACAGAGTCCCCATGTTATTTGTTTAGACTACGAGTCTCTACAAAAGATTTTAGAGAAGGATTCATCCGAAATAGTCATGGTGCTGGCAGCTCCAAGAAGTGGTTTGAAGGAACTTTTAGACAAGGAAGACACCACTGATGATCTCATTTCCATTGCTCTTGAGGTCCTCAGTAAAGTGTGCACCAATAAGACCAACAGGCAAAATCTGCAGCATCTTCTTATTGATGTCAAAGAATCTCAGTTTCTGAAGAAGATCCTACCTATGTTTGTACTGAGGGTGAGCAGACATACTGACCCAGATAAAAGAACACAGAGTCTTGTTAAGCTCGACCAAATCCTGGCCCTCCTCCTCACATTAATTAGTGTATTCCCTGCTAGTGCAGTCATCGATGTGTCATTTATCACCACTCTCGTGGAGAGTGAAATCCATCACCTGCAGTCCACAGGAATCACTGTTCTAGAGCAAACAGAGAACAGTTTAAGGTCCCTTCAGGAAATCATAGACCATCTGCAAGAGAGAAAACGAGAAGGGACACTCAGATCAGACAACTATACCTTCTTAATGGGAAATGAGGCTGAACCAGGTGTTAAGAACTACAGACAGATGTCTATCTTTCCCATGTATGAAGACATACATACAACTGATAAACCATTCATGAGGCCTAACATTATTGGTAAGAAATTTGAAGATGGCAACACCTACCTTGATACTCATTTCCGTCTCCTGAGGGAGGACTTTGTGAGGCCTCTCAGAGATGGGATCACCCAGCTTCTGAAGTTTGAAGGGACAGACTTGCGTCGGGGGAGGTTTGATGACATTCGCATCTATTTCAATACCCGTATTCTTTCCCCAATCTGTACGCCTAAGGGGATTCTCCACAGGGTGCAGTTCGAAACTCACAATTTAAAAGGTGTCAACTGGGAGAACTCGAAACGGCTCTTGTTCGGAGCACTGCTGTGCCTCTCCAAGGATGACTTTGAAACAATGATTTTTGCCACTGTGGCCAATCGAGACATGAAAGATCTAGTGAAGGGCATTACGACTCTAAACTTCACTGAAGAAGGAAGATTGAAGCTATGTGACGTTTCTCAGAGTGATACTTTCTTAATGATTGAGACAACTGCGTTTTTCGAAGCCTATCGTCACGTGCTTAAAGGCCTACAAGAGATGGCTACTGAGGAACTACCAATGCAAAAGTACATAGTAGACTGTGATGCTGAAATCTCGGCTCCAAAGTATTTGATGGGACAACAGCATAGTTACAGCCTCCAAGCCCTGAAGACTGATCAGCCTCTCGTACCACAGCAGTGTGCTAAGACTCCAAATATTCAGAAGCCTGATGACTCTGGCGGGACATGTAGCAGTGAGAATAAATCAGATGCTGCCATTTTGGGCAAACACAGTTTAAGGGGCCTACAGTTTAATGATAAAGAAGAGGCAGACATACTGAATTTCAGTCATTGGCCCAGTAAGGAGGAGCTGCATCTGGATGACTCTCAGATGAAGGCGTTGCAGATGGCCCTGACGAAAGAGCTTGCCATCATCCAAGGCCCCCCAGGAACAGGTAATTATCACAAATCATTAGCAGTCCCTCTCCTTTTCTCCTCCATTCTTTCCTTCTCCCTCTATGTCACCCTGAGTTTCTCCCAGTATTATTTAGTTTATATATTGTTTCTGTCCCTCAGGCAAGACGTTTGTGGGTCTCAAGATCGTCAAGGCCCTTCTGGCGAACTCCCACCTCTGGCGCTCTGGAGACAGCTGTCCTATTCTGGTCGTCTGCTACACAAACCACGCGCTCGATCAGTTTCTGGAAGGTGCATGCCCACTGTTGACACTGTGTGTTTGCATTGTATGGAGTGACGCACAGATATTTTACAAAGTTTTATTGTACGCAGTTGTCAACTACAAAATGTTTTATTCTTAGGTTCATGCAAAAGTCTAACATAATTAGAAACAGAAAAGGCAGGTTTTTACTGACTACAATTTTTGATGGAATTTAATGTGCACATTTTCATTTCTAGATTGATTTTAATTAAACCAAATACTACATTTCAGTTTTAACCAACCATTTCAGTTACTGATTAACTGGAAAGATTGAAAACCAGGACTCCAATCTTGCTTAGCATTTGCGTGTCTTACATGCCTTGGAGAATTAATTTATGTACCACAGGCATGTATTTTATTTTTGTTTTAATTCTCAAAATCATTTTCAACATTCTTCACAATATTTTGACTGCAAATTAACTATTATAATGTTATTTTGTTTTTGCTTCTTTGAAGGAATTTACAAGATTTTTAGAGGTCGCAGAGGACTAGTCAGAGTGGGAGGAAGATGCACCAGTGAGATCCTCAATGATTTTTCTTTGAATAATCTGCGGAAAGCTAATAATTTTAAACAGAACCTTCCTGGACATTTGCGAGCAATGTTTGCACAGGTGAGGTACAGACATACTTTTGACATCCTTAGTTTTTTAATTAGCCAATGTGTATTTAATTGTTTCACAAATAGATTCAGAAGGGCAGACATACAGGGATTTTAATCTTGTGTGTAAAAGGTGAGAGCCATTACTGAATCTCTACTAATGTTATAGCTAGAGTTAAAGTTGTTAGAACTATTCAGAGAGAGAGATTAAGAGAGTCAGAATACATTCTGTTGTTGTCCAAAACATGGCTTTTTAATAATTGTTACAACTTTGGGTATATTCTTGGGTGAACAAATTTCCTACATTTTCCTACCGTATGTCTACAGAAATGAAAAGGCCTTTCATTGAAAATGTGGAGAAAAAGATTGCTTAGCTTCTTTTCTAACATTTTGGAATGAAAATTGGAGCTGTAGTATAGACCCAGGCATAATTTTTTAAGGTTGATCCAGAGATTGTTGTTCATGATGAGGAATATTGAACCATAAAGGAATCGTGTGAGGATAGGGAATAGTATCACATAATGTGTTTTGATATTTCCAATTTAAAAGAAATTCGTAAGATTTGAAATCTATTTATGTACACATAGCTTTTAGACATTGCAGTGGGCTTTTACTGTAGGAGTACCTAGAGACTTAACATTACCAGTTAATAGCAGGAAAAACCGAGAACACAAGATCTGACACAAGATATGGCAGAAAGTATTATAAGAAGAGAAACCCAGACAGAATGATAACTGACAAATTGTATGGTTGGCATGGTTGTGGATGCCGTTCCAAGGTAGGTTCAGTGGTAATAAAATGCTGTTTGTCTTGGTTGAATCAATTTGTTGGGTCAATTGCATAAAACATCATTAGGCAAGTGCATCTTTTCCTGCGGGATATCATGCTGTCTGGTGGATAAAGCTGCCTACAGGTTTCCAAAAGGGTCCAGCTGTGGTATTTTTTCTGTGTTTCAAGGATGATAGCCTTTATGAACTATACAATCCAGGAAAGAAAGACAGATGTAGTCTCGGTGTGTCAGCATGCAATGTTTGAATGACAGTGCTATTGTTTGCAGCTCACAGATGAGAGGAAAGACAAAGAGCAGCTCATTGGGATGATGGCAGCTCTGCTTGAAAGCTCCTCCAAGGGAGTGGTGCATGAAAGTGTCCTCGAAGATTATATTGTCACTCTTCATGGGACCACCCTGGGGAAAGCAAAGGTTGGCCAAACACACACGGCTTGTTGACCTGTTTTATTTCATTTTTCTGAGCCTTTCTTAGTCTACAGTGTAGTATTCCTGGCTTGCCAGAAATTAAGAGGTATTGTATTGTAGTTAATTGTCATTTTTTGGGCAACAGGGTGTCTCAGGCAGGAAACAACGGTCACTGATGCTAGAATGGCTTGGAATTTCCATGCTGAGCAATTCTTTGAGCCAAATGGGTGAGATAGATTCTTCTCCTCTTTCATCGTTCTGAGCAGTTCCTAAATACCAGTTCAGAAACACTAGATGTTGAAATACAGTAACAGCTAACCTCAACAGCCAAAATGTTCAAATAATTATATCCTCGTATTTCAAAATAAGTTACAGAATAATTTGTATATATTAAATTTTGATGTTTGAAAATTAGATAACAGCATATTTTACATCTGCACTTTGTTTTGATTAGTAATGTACAGCCTGTAAGATATAGCATTGTTCTGTGGTCAGTAAATTTCAGTAAGGTACATTGACAACTGTATGTGTACTTTTTTCTTAGTTTTCAGTTTCTAAAAATTCATAGTTTTTAACATATTTATTTTGACAATTTTGTTTTCTATTTCATGTGCAGATACTGTTCAAATTTGAGAAAATAAGGCAGAGCAGAAAGTTAATGTTTTTTAACTCCTGCATCTCTCACATCGTCTGTTTTGCACCTCATTTCTGTACTCAAAGAAGTGAAATCAGATAAAAGATCAGTTCATCAGCCTCAGGAGAGGCTTTGACATCTATAAGAAAAATGATTTCTTTGACAAATGTAGCTTAAGAAATCCAGCAGAAATATCACTATATGGTTAACATAGTATTCCAATATTATTTTTACTGGAAGATGGTGAGGGACAAGTGTTAATTTTCAGAGTCAATGATGTCACTGGCTTGTGGGTCTGTGTGACTGGGGTCAGTGTGATGTCAATGGATGTCGCTGCAAATGAGTTTGCAGATCCTCTGCAGAGATAGTTTTTCATATTTGTCAATTATTGGAAAGCAAACTTCAGAATCCAACAGAATACATCAAAATACAATTTCAAATCATGTGATTTAATGTGATGAGGAAAGTGGAAATCTGTTAGAATTTAAAGAACCAGAGAAGACTTAAAAATAAAAAATAAAGCTTGTCCTGGAGCATATTAGAAGAGGGATTTTCAGATGGAAATCGTTCAAGTAAAACATATCCCCCCTCCGCCCACACGTAAACATTAAATCATGGGTTTAGCTGGCCGTCCACAGCACAGCCATGACAGCATGTCTTCATGCAGCTGGTTCAGCTCTCACGTCTCACTCACGGGTTGCAGAAATCCCAGACCTTCCCGATCGTGCATCTGTGGAGGAGGACGACAACAATGAGAGGATGAGTGAAACGCGGAGTGAGCTCGGAGGGTCCGAGGAACTGGAAGCTTCCTCTCAGGAAGCCACAGGTACCAGCTGTCCAAGATTAGCTGTGGAGGACAGGTCCATGGCGGCGCTACTCTTTGACAGAGTTTCAGACCGTCTTAAAATGAGACGGACACATCGATGGATCTCACTCAAGGACACGCACTGAACCAGCATGTTTCAGTCTTTCGTCTCATTAAGGAGTTACTTCAGTGGTAGTTTTATACTTAATGGTTTGCATTGCGGTTACTCTTTCCTTTATAGGTTTTGATGATTTGGAAAGCACTGACCCAGAAAATCTCTATCAGTCTGAAGGCGAAGAAGCTGAACCTGAAGATGGTAAATTAATCTTAAAGATACGGAATTTCATTAATGAATTGTAATTAATTACACTGTTACTGTAGCTCCTTGATTTATACACATCACAAGAACAATTATACATTTTGAAAAATTCTAATGATTTTATCTGCTACAGATTTAGTTCTGAGCTCTCCACTGTCAATCTACTCCGCATTACAACAGCGTGTAGAAATTGAAAGGGATTAACAGAGCAGCTGTTTATCTAGAAAGAAATATAGTATACAGTATAGCTGGAGCCAATGACAAACGAACTTTCAATACATTTTTTAATTGTTAAACTCTTATATGAGTTGGAAACAATGGAAATCACTTTTAGGTTTCTAAAAAACTTTATAGATTTATAAAAAAGATGATGGAACCACCAAACCCACATCTATTTATAGTATTGTATAAAGTTGAGTGATACCACACTTACAGTATATCATTCCCAAACAAAACAAACACCAATCAGAATGACAACTCTGCTTCAATTTAAGAGAATAATACTGAAGACGAGATAGACGAAGATGAAGTTGGTTCATTGCCAGATGAGATGAGCTCTTCTGACAAAGACGTGGAAAACGCAGCAAAAGTCATGGAGCTGGCAGACGCCATCAAACAAGAAGGTGTGTTATAGCAAAGCTGTCACATGGCAAAACAGACTTCTTAACGCAGCTGGATGGGGAAGAGCCTCTTTCTGAAGCTGAGTGGAAGTAGCGTCTCATCCAGGCCCCTAATATTCCCGCATGCAGTTCTTCATCGGGAGGAAATGGAGCACTTTTACAAAGCGCAGATGCTGGGAAATGGCGGGGAATTAAGGCAGGTCTTTCTGTGTTTGTTCAGACAGCATGAGTGATGTTGCCAGCGTGACTACAGAAGGGGATGAGGCTGCATCTGACCTAATCCAAGTCACCGAAGAGGCTGACCTGGTTCAGGCTGAGAGAATGATGGAGGGGGATGACGTGCAGAAGCACATCCAGCATGCTCAGAAGAGAGTGGCCAGGACGCAGCAGGAGCTTCTTGTATACATCCCTGCAGAGCAGGAGGGTCCCGAGGAAGAGAACAATGAAGAAGCCCATGATGAGGAATGGCAGGTATGTTTATACAGCAGACTGTTGTATTCCGAGTCCCAGAACGCCTGCATTCCAGTAATGGGCCAGTCAGTGATAGAATGTCATGTCTCCTCCCCTACCTGTTTGCAGTCTTTTCTGATTACAACACTGGTGACCCCTAGTGGCCCACCCTTGTCATTACACATCCACCTCAATGCAACAGGGACAGTATGCTGTAAGTGAAATAATTGCACTAGGACAATGACATCTATCAATTCTTCCATCATCAGATTTCAGATATCACTATCATTCCTACTAGGTACTGTGGCACCACACAGCCTACCCCAGAAACATATGGCTCAAGGTGGAAACACCCCCTGGAATAAAACACCAGTCTGTCTTAGGTTACACACACGGGGCTGATTCAGAGGCTCATTTGAACCTACCCAGTGTTTCATTGAAAGACTGAAGGAACCCGGAGCATCAGGGAAAAAGCTATGTGAACAGTGGGAGAGCATGCAAACTCCACACAGAATGTGCTCCATTCTGGAACCAAGCCCTGGACACAACACACTATCACTGACCACCACAACCCATCTACCAACCCATCATCAACCCATCATTTAATGGAAAATAAAATAGCAAATTTTCTATTCTGTTCTCAGATAACAAAAGAGATGAAGAAAAAGCTGAAACAAGTTGTAAAGCAGGAGATTCAGAAAACTGAATATATGCTGGAGGAAGAAGCTGCTCAGATCGCTGACCTTTGGGCACTGTCATACAGACAGCGCTGGAGCCTATACCGGTAAACAGCGCCCTCTGTGGGCCACAAGAACAAATGCAGCCTGCTCAAGACTTATTTAAACATTGGGACAGGGGAATCCATTCTTGGCCCTGGGGATCCACAGATCTGCTGGGTTTCAGTGCAAATGAGCTTAATTATTTATTATGAAATAAGATTATGAAACTGGCTTGTTTAGAGTCTTATCACGTTTTTTCTTCTCAAATGTTGGAGATTTCAAGTTACTTGAGAAACAGTAATTAAAAGGCAATTTCCTACACGAAAACAATTAGATGGTTGGAATGAAACCTATTATTTGATCTATGAAATGTTCAATTATTTAACTGAGTGCAGAGATGGGGAAATAAAGCAGAAGGTTTATGGGTCCCCAGGAAAAAGGAGTTCATCGTGCTTGTGTCAATTTCAATAGCAAGATGTCTCTGAATGCAGAGCAGACTGATGCCCACTGTTGTTGTAGCCATAAGGCTTGAAATATACAGCAACAGTATTTACTGTAGACTTTAGATTACACTTCTGGAGGGGAAAGACAAAACATTAACACAGTCTTCTGTTTTATTTTAAAATAAAGGTAATATCCAAGGTGTTATTTAATGTTTTGACCTTAGTTAAATAACAGTCCAGATCTTCTGTATTTAGTTGACATGTACTCGGCCACAACCCATTTCTCCACCACAGTGACAGCCTGAAAGATTGATCAGCCCATTCTTCTCTGCCTTTGTTGTGTGGCTGTTAAATGGTATGAATGTTTCTCCCAGGCTCTGGCTTCACAAATACCGATGTGACTTACGGGTCAGAGTTCTAGAGGACGAAAAACAGTATCAAAGGATAGTGAACCGCATTGATGAGCTGCGAAACCTGGAGGACGAGTCCATCCTGAAGACGGCCAGCGTCATCGGAATGACCACCACCTGTGAGTCTGGACAAGTCATTTCCAAGAATGGCTGTGATCTTGGGCAGGAAGAGAGCAGCAGATTCACGAAAGCAAAGGGCTATCCCAAGCTTATCTCCTACCATTAATGGAAAACCCCTCTTCTGATTACAGTCAGATAAGATCACATTATTGGCCATATACAATTTCTTGCATTAGGAATTTCTTTTTGCGTAATCCAGCTTTCTCTCCATGAGACACACAGACAGGGGGGGAAGCTTGGGGTCAAATGGGGTCAGCCATTTATACGGTGCTGGAGTATAAATGGAGTAGCTGTGGTTAAAGGCCTTGCTCAGGGGCCCAACGGAGTAGGATTCTTCTGCTGGCTGTAGGATTTGAACCAGCAACCTTCCAGCCACAGGCACAGATCTTAAGCCACACCCACTCAGGAATAAAGTCTTTTGACCTGGGAAAGCTGAGAGGAAGTGAGTTACGGTTCGTGAAATTTTCATGCTTGTAACTCCAAGTGCAGTTTTGGTTTACACTGTTTATAATTCTGCCACAGAAAACACATTATGAGGATTGATCCTGTATTCTGAATGGAGTTTTGTGTACCTCCAGTGGAGCTGAGATACATGCAGCACAATTTCGTCCCCAGGTGCAGCCCGATACAGGAAAGTCTTACAGGACATCAAGCCCAAGATTGTCATTGTCGAGGAGGCAGCGGAGGTGCTGGAAGCTCACATAGTGACAACACTAACCCCCGCATGTGAGCACCTCATTTTAATTGGGGACCACCAGCAGGTGAGAGAGATACCCGCAGACACGGGAGGTGTTGTTATTTTGAATAAAAGCAGTGCCTCCCTAAAGCACAACAGAACATGTGCTTTTCACTTGATTGTACATAATGAGGCCTGGATTAAATCCAAAATGCCAGCATGGCAGACAACTGTAAATTGTGATGATGGCTGTTTGTTTTTCTGTGCTTCTAAGCAAATTAGTCTGCATCTAGTTGGTAATGTGACTGCCATGCACTGTTGATTTAAACTTTAATTGTGGCCTAAGACACAATGAGACATGATTGTCAATGAGACCTTGTGAGCACCCCTACTGAAGCACTGACATTGTTTCTGGAGTGTTTCCTTGGGGTGTATTAATTGTAGAACAAAGGCTGAATTCTACAGGTAAGGTACTAGATGGCACGCAATGAAAATGATAGAGTCAAGCGCCTGGAGAGACAATATAAGTGACTGAAAAGTAGACCACGGGACTTATTTTGTGCTGGAGGTGTCAAGGCCCCCTCTCATTTGTAACTGTTCTTAAATTGTTAAACTGACACTCTGAACCCAAGTGAACATTTGATCCTAAACACTGCTGTATCCTGTCTTCTGAAATCAGGACTTGTCCTGGCCCAAGGCTACTGTCTCTACAAGTTGCAAAACATATCATATCTCATTAATAATCCCAAAGATCACTCAAATACTTTATAGCAAACAACTAGGTTCTTGTTTTTTCGTGACTACTTTAATGCTCATATTATTGCATTAATATGAGAAACTTAATTTTCCATATTATTGCAAGGAGAATTTATGAGGATCATAGTCGTTTTTATTATTTGAAGGTAAAGTACATTTCCTACTTAACCCTTAAATAATAAACAGTGTCCGTGTTTGAGAGGCTCATCAGAATGGATGTACCTTTTTTCCCTTAGACCTAGGTTACTGAGAAAAACCTGATTTGCTCATTGCTCTTGCTCATTGCTCTTCAATGAATCAGATTTCAGTGTTTGCAGAAACAAAAATTTGTGTTGTTTTTATTTTAGCTTCGTCCAAGTGCTACAGTGTACGAATTGGCAACAAATTTCAACCTGGAAGTGTCCCTGTTTGAGAGGCTCATCAGAATGGATGTACCGTTTGTTAGGCTTGACTATCAGGTAAATATGATGCCTTTTGAGTACTTTGTACACAAATGTGTTCCTTCAAGTGTTAGGATGTAAAGTACCTTTGCCAATGAACATCTGAGCACTTGTGTATGATGGTAATGGTTTAGCTGCTCATGTGAGTATGCACTCTGTCTCTGCTCACATGGAATTTGCATCTTTGTTTTTCTTGAATGTTTTGTGGAGAAAAACATTCAGCTCACAAGGAGGTCGGTTTAGTAATTATTATTTATTGGATATTTTAATATCAGCAGCAAGATTATGTTCTTTAGTTAAGCTTTTTTCTACAAAAACTCAATAGATGTCTAGGAAAGATCATTAGAATCTGTTTTCCTGCAGGTGAAAGCATCTGTGTTTTGTAATGGTGCTTAACTTTATTACCAGTGTACATTATGATATTTAGTCTGATAAAGCTCCTCATATTGACTCTTATCAAATAAGGTTTAACTTTGCACTGATGTGAGTTTAGTAAACAGTATTAAAATTATACATTGAACTGTACCATTAGATTTTTTGTTTTAATATCCCCTTCTGTAGCATCGTATGCGTCCCGAAATCGCCCAGCTGTTAACTCCACACATCTATGACAAGCTTGAAAACCACATGTCAGTCAACCTGTACGACAATATCAAGGTAATCTTGCAATAGTCTTGTTTCTGCTACCCAATGCAAAAATGTTGTGCTGCCTCAATTTACCATGCGTGAGAGTCCTCACCCTTCAATAAGGACTCTACAGGGATCTGAGCACAAACAAAACAGACAACAGCAGTGCTATGTAGTGCAGGAGGCTTTGTTTCAGAGAATGTGCAGGTCTTTACAGCACATTCTTTACACCAGAGCAGCCGTCCCCAAGTCCCAGCCACCATGCATGTCGTTCATGCCCTTCTTATCCCGAGCAAAACCCCTAATTACACCCATGTGAGAAAGTGCATTACAACACCAATCACTGATGGTCATCTAATTAAATAATGAACACCCAATGTGGCTATTTACAACATTTAGACAGCCATAATTGCAGCTAGCCCCATCTTAAGATGCCCAGCCACACCAAGTTATTAGATTTGTGTTTATTAAGTAACAAAATGAGTACAGTGGCAACACAAATGTGTCAGTTAACAAGGGTTAAAAGTCTAAAATCTTTATGAATCTGTCTTTGCTATTTAACAATAATTTTAATGACAAAGATGATGTTTTAAACAGTCACTTGAGAATTGCAAATAAATCCAATAGTGTTCATCTTTAGCAGTAAATGACAGTGTGATAAGGATTACTTATAACAGGGTAGCTTCGCACAGGTCAGATTCTCTGAAACTTCCTCGATTTCTACTTAAAGTGTTTCCCTCTCTCAAGTACATTTAAGTATGGAACATATTTTAAATACATCTATAGAAATATGGTTAATATAAGACATCTAACATGATTATGAAATTTTACAAAACATACGAAAACACCTTGAGGGGCACAAATGAACTTTGACACGAGTCACACTTGACAAAAAACTGTACTCTGATTCCTAAGTATTTTTGTGTTGTTTGTATGTCATAACAAACTTTCAGCTTAATAATAAAACTAGCCTTGTGTGTGAAATCATAGTATTTTTTTATTTTACTTAGGGTGTCACCACAAATGTCTTCTTTCTGGAGCACAAACACCTGGAAGAAAACATCCACGAAGGTCGAAGCCATCAGAACCTTCATGAAGCAAAATTTGTGAAGTCACTTTGTTATTACTTTATCTGTCAGGGGTATAAGCCTTCTCAGATAACAGTTCTGACAACATACACAGGGCAGCTGCACTGTTTGAAGAAGCAGATGCCCAAGACAAAATTTGATGGAGTCAAGCTGTGTGTGGTTGACCGTTACCAGGGAGAGGAAAATGATATTATTATACTTTCGTTGGTCAGGAGTAACCTGGAAGGGAAAGTTGGTTTTCTGAAAATACCCAACAGAGTGTGTGTTGCCCTCTCGAGGGCAAAGAAAGGCTTGTTCTGTATTGGCAACATGTCCATGCTTTCCAGGGTTCCTCTGTGGAGCAAAATCATGAATGTTTTGAGCAACAATGGTCAAATCGGTGAAGCCTTAATGCTGCGCTGTGAGAATCACCCTAAAACAATTACTTTTGTGTCTGACGAAGAGGATTTCAGCAGGGTGCCCCTGGGTGGATGCTCGCTGCCCTGTGAGTACCGTCTGAACTGTGGCCATGTCTGTACCAGGCTTTGCCATCCAAGCGATTTGGAGCACAAGGAATTTAGATGCGTGAAGCCTTGTGAAAAAACTCTGTGTGAGGTTGGGCACAGATGCCCCAAAAGATGCTTTGAAAAATGCGGTGCGTGTCAGGTGATAGTCACCAAGACGATCCCAAGTTGCGGGCACAAGCAGGAGGTGCCCTGCTCAGTGCCCCCGGACCAGTTTACCTGTCACATTCCCTGTGATAAGAGCCTGCCATGTGGCCACCCTTGTGTCCGTGAGTGTGGCTCCCCCTGCACTCACAACTGCCCGCAGTTGGTGACAGCTGACCTGGACTGTGGCCACCAGAAGAAAACTCAGTGCTGGAAGAAGAGGGAGGCCGAAGAAAAGAACAAAAGGATCACATGCTGGGTGAAATGCGATGCACAGCTGGACTGCGGCCACGCGTGCTCCGGAAACTGCACGGAGTGCTCCCGTGGAACGTCGCACATTCCCTGCCACTTGCGTTGTGGAGAACGATTGATCTGCTCCCACAGATGTCCAGGGAAGTGTCTGACAGAATGCGTGCCTTGTGCCGAGTCCTGTGAAACCAGGTGTTACCATGGGAGTTGTAATAAGATATGCTCGGCGCCATGTTGGCCTTGCAGAAAGAAATGCGGCTGGGGCTGCAAACACTGCCGCTGCACGAGGCTGTGTTTCGAACCCTGCAACAGGCAGCCGTGTCTCAAACATTGTTCCAAGAAGCTGAGATGTGGCCACAGATGCATCGGCATGTGCGGAGAGCCATGCCCGGAGAAGTGCCGCGTGTGCAACCCCGAGGAAGTGCAAGAGGTGTTCTTCGGGAAGGAGGCCGAGCCCAGTGCCCGCTTCGTACAGCTGATGGACTGTCGCCACATGTTCGAGGTGACGGGCTTTGATGCCTGGATGATGCAGGCTGAAGAGGACGAGGTCATTCAGCTGAAGGCTTGCCCCAAATGCCAAACTCCCATCCGCAGGAGTGTACGGTACGGCCCCATTGTCAAAAGAATGCTGATGGATATAGAGACTGTGAAAAGGAAGATATCAGAGATGTGTACAGAGCAAACCCTGAGTTCACTGAGACAAAGAGAGGGTCTCGGTATACATGTACCACAGATCCAGGACCTGTTGTCCAATTTAAAGAATCCTGAAATAGACCTTCACAGTAAAGTCTTTTACAGCAAACAGATCATTCTTCATACAAAGCTGGCCGAATTAAAACACAATGTTCAGGTGACCTTGCCAAGTAGAATCCTTCAGTTCAAAGTCAAAATGCAGATAGACCAATGTAATGAGATTATCTCCAAAGGGGAACGTGACATGACTGAATATGAAAGGGAAATCAAAAGGATTTCTCTCCTGGCGGAGGCCTACACCATATCTCACATGCGTAACAAATTTCAGACTTCATTATTGTTGTTTCCACAACATGGGGAACTGGAGGAAATAATCAACCGACTCAAAGAAAGTGTGATGATGCTTAAAGAAGAAGAAATTAAAAATCTGAGAATAAAGCTTGACAGCATTGCAAAGATGCTGCATCTGCATGTGAAAGACAAGATGTTGGATGAGACAGGGTATACTGTGATTGATTGTACTATTTTTAAACAGCATCACTGGCGCAAGTGTGGTAGAGGGCACATTTACTTCACCAAGGAGATTGAAATGCAAATGAGAAGGTGCCCTGAGTGTGAAGCACAATAGCCAGTAACTGACCAGTGTTGCACCTTGTGAAGATCTGGTTGTAAAATGAAATTCAGACACCTGTAGCATTAATATCACAGTGCAAAAGGTACAGCAAAAGTCCTTATTGTCGTTTCAATAAGGTGTTTGACGACACAATACTTAAAATAAGTCAACTTTGCCCAACACGTTCTCCCATTTATTTTCACAATGAGAACCAAGGAAAAGCTGTAATATCCCATATAAGAGTGGTTATAATAATGTGCTTCATTTGTGTTTAGCTTCTTGTGTCTGTAGGGAGCAGAGGGGAAATTGATTACTAGTATTATGGTTTGGTACCTGATATTTGTCAGGACACTGTTAACAGTTACTTCGTTTGTCTGACTTGATGAATGTTGTTGTGTAAGTACTAACTGCTCAATTTCTAATGCAAGTGTTAGCCAACAATACACATTATCATGCACAAGGCTTTGGATTAACGGTAAAAATGATGTTCAAAGAGAATTTTGAATACATCTTTTATTTGACTGTTAGTGTTAATTTTCCATTATCCATTAATTCTTTAACATCTTTTGAGTTCCCATTATTTACTATGTGATTTATATTATGAACATATTTTCATTATATATTGCTTTGTATTGATAAAATTTAAAGTAAATTAAAAATAAATAAAATAAAAAGTTAATTTTGTTACGTATTATAATTGTGTAGACAGAAATCATTATAGCAATGTAATTTGCATTTCCCTTGACTGAGAGTGATTATTTTTGGTTTTTAGACATCCTAAATCTGAAAAGTGTTTGTCTTTTAACTTGTTTCTTCAATCTAAATTGTTTCCAACAACTTCAACACACAGACCTGTACACAGTCTCCTCTCTCCTCCTGGCCATTAGCTAGCTCCTGCTGGTTAACCAACTGATGACGAGCAGACACAGGCGGGCGGGGGTGACGCTATATCCAACATGCCCATAATTACTTTCTTTCCTACAGAGATCCATTTTCAAGAAAAACCTGAAAGAGGGCAGTTAAAATATTCAAATATTGGTACAGGGCTAATTCCAATTGAAAATCCCCTATGACCGTAGTCAATGTACAGATATGACCCAGATCGAGAACTGAAATCACTCATCCCACAATTAAGCGCTCAGCTGGAGCAGAAACCAGGTGCCAGTGTTCCTCCAGGACCAGGGCTGGAAGCTACTGGTATATCTCTCACACAGAGACCTGACAGCAGCAGGACACGTCAGCTTGTGCTGCGATCAGGGCACATGTTCCCCAAGTGGGCGCTCAAGGGGTAGCTTGAAGTGTGTGAAGCCCCAGCCTCAGTGGAGACCTTTAATATTGACTCTTTGTCCTGGAGGGCTGCTGTCCTGTCTGTTCAGGTCTTCATTCCACTCTGAACTTTTAACAACTTGTCAATCAGATTGTTCTTTTACGACCACTGATAACGTCTGGCTTCCTGAGGTTTAAGGAAAGATCTATAAAACCTGTCTGCTGAAATGGGTTCCAGTGTGTGACAGTTCTCAGAGAAGCCAGCAGGAAATTAGGGCTCTGTCGTTGCTGCCTGATAACAGGATGATTGTGCAGTTCAAGAGAGAAAAACAAAAACAGCAGTCATTCATGTGACACCTGAAGCCAACACAACACGCTCTGTGTGGTTTGTGCTAAATGAGGGATCACTCTGGACTCAGGTGATGAAGCTGTAAGAAATAGCAAGGGGTACTCTGGTCTCTACCAGTACCAGAGACTCTGTCAGACAATGCAACTACGTAAGGCCAAACTAAGCCTTAGCAGCGCTCCTTTCGGAAGATACGCTCGATTTCGTCCTCTCTCACCGGAGCTCGGGAGCTTTGCCGTCACGCAGACGCAGAGCCCTTGTGCAGTCGCCTCCCGGCCAGCAGGGGGCGGCAGCCCGGAGTCCTGGCCCACGGCGCCCGCGGTGCGCTCTTGCCGGGAGTGCGGGCTGTGGGGGCGGGGCGAAGCGTGGGGAGGGCGGAAGGGCTGGCAGGAGAGCGCCTGGCCGTGTTTATGTTTCTTGGGGTCTGAAACTCGAAGCGGATGGGCGAGCAGGGGGGTGGCATGGCTTGGAGATGACACGGTGATGAAAGGGGGTAAAAAAAAAACACATCTAGGAAACTGGTGACACGGTAAGTTTCATTCGGGAAATAGTAACGTTAATTTCGTGGGATCGAGATCTGTGTGTGAGCACATCAGATCTCACCATCATGATCTGTGAACTGTTTAAAAGTTTTGCCAGTAAGTTGCGTGTGGGTGTTGTAAATTAGCTCAGCGTTTCCGCTCCCCTTTCCTTAAGCAGAGCTAGGGAAAATCCGGATTTCTTCGCCTTAGGGATGGTTTCGTGATTACACGGCCGGGGAGGGTGCCGACTCTGACTGCGCTGGCAGTATATCTCGGAGGTGCGGACGGGTCTTTCTTACACCCCGAGGACCGGGCAGTGCGGGTGTGCTCACCCCGAAACCCAGCTCTGTCTCTCGGTGTGTGCTGGCTGGCGGAGTCTGTCTCCGGCTGCTCGGACCGCGCTTGTCTGCAGGTGCGGGTCGCCGAGTCCGGGCGACTCTGTTCGTGAGAGGCCAATCAAACGGACTTCAGCTTCGTGTGTGTTTCTCTCCATCTGCTAGGACGAGAACGATCCCCGACCCCTGTATGTGGGCTTTTCTCCCGGGGCTCCAGCGCCGCCACACCCACTGTCTCTGCTCCGTGAGACGGGCTGCCGTATCTGTGTCGTCCGTTGGCTGTTCAGGATAGTGGGTGGCGTTTGGGAAAAGCGTATGAGACATTGGGGTACGTTGAGGAGAGGAAGAAATAGCCACTTTAGTCTTTTAATCTAAATTTTAACGTTAGTGATCGCAGTTTGTTAACGCAATACCCGCTGTCTCGGTTGAAACGGACGGCATGTAATAACAAGCCTAAGTCATTGGATGCAGCCGGAACAAATTCTAGGGTTTGGTCCTACTAATGTGTACTGTCTCTGAAGGTAAAGACGTGTAATTAATACGACAGCTTCCAGCCAGTCTTCGCTTATGTTTGCGGTCCTAACCGGGCTCTCGAAAAACGGTGTGGATCGCCTCCAGACAGAGTTCTGTCTGTTGACTGTTTTATTGTTTTTTTATTTTTAAATGACAACCAGACGACACCCCCTTCGTGAAATCAGGTTCCCCGAGTGAGAATTCTCTGCTGCGCGGCGAAATTCTTCTGCCTAAACTTATTTAATCAAATGTGAAGTGAGGACCACAAACCCAGAACTAATAATGAGCCTTAATTAACAGGAGGACACGTCCCTTCCAGTCAGACACCTTCTCCCTCTGTGCCAGTTGTGAGCTGTCAGCTGTGAATTCTGATTTTCTCTGTATGAAATGGAAAGCGTCTAAGCAGCGCCTTGGTTAAGCTAGCTGATTTTTGAGCAGTGCTTGGGAAAGCTCAGATAACAGTACGAGTGTTTCCTGATTTAAATACCTTGAGAGGCAGTTGCTGAAAATGTCTGTATAAGGGATGTTCTCCGCAAACACTTGTATTTTATTTGAACACATGGGCCTTCAACCGGGCTGAAAAGGTTTGTAATCTGCTGTGGAACAGATGTGCTAAACAAAAATATGCTGTTATTTCAACTGGAGACATTTCATTTTAATTGATTGGTTGGCAGATGCAGCTTTTAAGTCAAAGACCTTGAAAGTGCTTCTATGGAAAATTGTACTTGTCCTTTTTAAATGTTTCATATAGAAAGATGGGTGTGTGCTCTGCAGAAGTCTCTGAAGACATGAAGACACTTTTGGCCTAGCACATTCAAGGGAATATTTAATACTTCTAAAAAATGGGTGCAGCAAGAGTGCTATGATTTAATCTTTGAAGAATGTAGAGGCTGAAAGCCTGTGCCAGGTTTTCTTCTCTGGATGTCCTTGCGCTGTTCTAGGCAGGACTGTATCTCTCATTGGCTGCGGGGTTACTGTGACACACTCCTCAGGCCCTTGCTCTCGTGAAGAAGGCTTCCGTTTTTAATGCCCACGGTGGCTGCGTTGTCTCGGCTGCAACCCTAAGAGTTCAGAGACAAAGGCAGAATCCTACACTCCTGGGTCTTTGTGATCAGCGCTGCCATGTGTCTCACCCTTGCCAGCCTGCAGGGCCGAGTGGTGAGCCCTGTATGGACTTGCAGCTGTAGAGACGCTACATGTTTAGAAACCGACAATAAAACACTTTGACAAGTGCTTTACAAAAGGCCTTAACATCTCACATGAAGGACCACACCTGCAGTCTCCTGTAATCAGTCCTGTAGACTCTAGAGACTGGGGTGGGGGAGACTTTGCCTTAAACTCAGGCCTCAGGTGCTCTGATGGATGTTGCCCGTCTGGAGTTGGTCAGCAGGTCTGGACGGAGGGAGCGTGTGTGTCTGTTTCTGGTGAGGAGAAGGTCGTTGCTGTGTCCCTGGCGAGGAAGGTGAGGCCTGCAGTGGGAGTGTGATGGCAGGGAGCACTTTCTGTTCGTGCTGGTAATGAAATGTAAGGGTCAGTTTCCATGGAGATAGTTGTTTTGCAGTCAGTTTATTTTGAAAGCAATAAAAAAACTATGTAAGCTTCTGGTAAAAGTTATTTTTCATTTAATGTTCATCAGCTGCTTTGCTTTGAGCAGTTATTCTGATTATTACTACAGCTTTTATTGGGCTGACGTTGTGAACCCAAGAGACTCTGGTGCTCGTTTACACAGCTGGCGCACCTGCGTGAGGCGCCCTTGTCCTCCTCAGCGGTGCAGCGGTAGCGTCTCTCCTGCAATCTAAACCCACGCTGTGGATGCGGTTTAGTTCTGCTTTAAGAACCATGCTGACCCATTAAGCCTTTTCAGGGCAGCCAGGTTTCATTGTGTTGAATACAGGTCTGCCTGGTGCTAAGAAGATGGGAAAGCTTACAAATGAGAAGAGACCACACAGCCCATCTGAGCCGAACAGGCCAGGATAATGAGGCAGACAGCCTGGTCACTGTAGAAAGTGCAGTCTAGGCTTGTAACTGGAAAGTCATGGGCTCCAATCTCAGTCACAGATTACGCCAGTAAAACATTCAGCTGTATAAATGGGTGCAAATGTAAGCATCAGCTGAATATACTGGTAAGTAATGAGCAGCATCTGGAATGTCTCGGCTGCTGTCAGGCTCCCCTCCACACATGCTCTGATCAGCAGGTGATGTTCCCACTGTGCTGCAGCATGTCCCACTGTTAGGCTGGGCTTCAAGCTTTTTTTAAAGTTCACATCGACTTTCCTCAGTCTTTCCATTGCAAAACGAGAGATTTGTTTTCCTCATTTTCTTCAGCAATGGAACGTGCTGTTGGTATGCAGCTCTCCTTCCTAAGAAGGGCTATTAAATGCTATCAATCGTCCTGTTATTGTGCATATAAACTGTATCGTAAAGCCTGTTAAAATCCACAGTTCAGTAGTGAATTATGTAATTCAGTCTAGTATTGATGCAGTAAGATTTTATAAAAGCTTGTGCAAATATTTTTCCATTTAAGAAAATTTGGAAAATACGGAATAAAGCAGCTGAGGAGTCTGTTTGTGATGTATTTATGTAACATTTTTAAATGCATCAGGAGAAACATGAAGAGAGGTGCATTTAAAAAGAAGTGCCTAAGGACCCTTCTTATACCATTTATTTTGGAAACTGAGGATCATTTTTCAGGAGTCCACTTATATTTGCCCACTCTCGATAAACGTATCATCGGTTTCACTTTAGCAATCGTGGAGGGAGGAACTGAAAGACGTCTGTGCCCAATGTCCACCTTTTCCTTCATACCTGAGTTTTTGTGAGTAAAGGGAACATTTTATCTTTGCACCTTAGTGATTAATATTTATCTTGTACAGTTAATGTACAAAAATTGCATTGTAGACTGTTTAGTCTTGCATACTACAGGGGTTAATTCCTTTTAAATAGTTTATATCCCTAAACAGACAAATTAACGCATTGATTTTTCTTTCCAACAAGTAAGGAATGGTAAGTTGTAGGTAATATACACTTCTGTATTAAAGTGCGACTGATATCATTTGCACTAATCTTGTAAAAAAATGTATAGTGTACATGTAAGCTTCTCAGAGGCTGTTAGCAGGCACTTGTTTTTTTTTTCCTTCAGGAGAAGGTGTTCTGTACCCTTATGTGAATATCTGAATACACCTGCTTTGACTGTAGCTGTTTGATGTCCATAGTTTCTGTTGCTCTGCTGGAGATCTGGAATGCAGGAGGAGATGTACAGTAGCTGCACTCGGGTTTCTGCTTCTCCAGCTTCTCCAGAGCACAACGACGCAGGGCGGCCAAGTAACTTCTTTCTTTCCGACCCTGAACACCAGAGCTTGGTCAGCAGGCTAGTGGGCGACCCTTCTCCTTAACATCAGAATGAAAAAAATGAGGTTCTGAAGCTGATGTATTAGTATACTGCCCTAGTTTTATTCTAGCATTTATTTTGTCAGACTAAATTAATCTAACAATTAATTAACAGCATATGCATTTTTTATTCACCGGTTATCTGTTTTGGTAGAGAATTAGATCTCGGGGGTGCGGAGCTCAGCTCCCTCAAGACCCCCCCGAAGCCAGTGCCGTTCTGAGAATATAGACTCAGGCCCAGTCCCAGTGTAAGGCTTTGTCCTTTCAGCGGCGTGGGGTGGCTCGTCAGAGAGTAAGAGCTCTGCCAGAGTCCTGGTGTTTTAGTATCATTGTATGTTAGCCCGACATTGTAACTAACTCATAAGCATGCTGAGGTACTCTTAAATCATTTTCTAGTATCTCCGTTTTGTGAAACTAATTACTCAGTTTTATTCAAAGACATATCCTTTTTTTTTTTCTTTAGGAGTTGCGCATTAACGCTTTGTGTGTGGACTGTAGATCAATAGATTTGTCAGTTCTGCTGCAAGCGCTGATCTCTGAAAGGCAGGAAGAATTGTTTGACATCTGTGTCAAACGGAAGAAACCTCCTGTTTTCAACAGGTTTTACTTCTAACACTCAGTAAAAATACCACGGACTCAGTCCAGGTCAATACTGTACATTTCACTGATCTTGGATATCAGCAAATGTAAATCATTTAAACCTACCTTCCTGTAAAGAATTCCTGCCGACACATGAGG